TAAAAAAAAAGGGGGGGGGTTCCAACCGCAGGAACCCCCCCCCCCCTTCCTGGATCCGCCACTGGTTAATCTGTGACTATTATACTGTCCCAGAGTTAATATAGATCAGAATTTTAATCAGATTTGGGTGTGAATATTATATCACTTGGATATTCATAGATGCACCCTGTGGTTAAAGTCATTAGGCATCCTTCTCTGACAAACCTTCTTAGAATTTTACTAAACTATGGAAATACTTTTTTGTTGTTAAGAGATAACATCTGAAGCAAAATGTTCAAATATATTGTTTGTATTTTTTCATATCATGACTGGTAGATGGACTTACGATTTTTGTAGTTAACATTGCCATACATCTGTGGTTAATTTTTTATTAGACATCAATATTTCTGACAAGCCTTCATATGGAATAATAGCTTAAAATGGTCGAATACAGAAAAATTTGGTTGATTATATAGGAAATCACTGAATCATGACTGTAGCGGGCCCCCTCTTATGGCAGTCAGTGAGCCCCCTTATAAAAAGATCAGGATCAGCCACATGTATAACATGTATATATATATAACCACTTCTTATTTCTTTTGTATAACAACAAACATGTCTATGTTTTTGTATGTTGATATGTTATTGTCTCGAATCCAGGTCAGTTGAGGAATTAGGTGACTGGGTTAGTACGCTACTTATAATATACGGTTTGTGTATTTGTTGACTGTGACAACTCCCCCTAAATCCTGCATTTTCATTGGTTAAGAACTGACATACCCACATTTTGTAGTTTATGTTTGTGTCATAATAACCTGAGCCACCGGTCAATACACGTGAGAATTATACCGGCTAATATAGAACCAGGTATGGATGCTACAATGTTTATTGATTCATTCATTTTATTTTTGATTGATTGCGCGTTTTATTTTTCAATGCAGTAAGCACTTTTTGTAAGTTCAATGTCCGTGCGATATTTATTTACTTAATAATATATGTAGCAAGCTAAATTGCTAACCTGGTTAATCATTGTTAATATGCAATTAACATAATATGTTAGATATTGGATCATCTTAGACAACAATTAATGCATTTATTGAAATATTTTGAAATAATTGCATAATTAAGTTCTTAGTACACACTGAGTTCGGATATTTTCTTGTCTATCTTATTTACAGGTAAGACAGTTGATCATGTTTCTTATATAAATATATAACTGCAGGCTCGCAATTGCAGTTACACCCTTTTCAACAACAATGTAAGAACATGTTGAAGCACCTGAATCTAAGTTACTCTTTAGATTTTTTTTGCAACGCTTGCTTTTGAATGAGTACATGTATGTACTATTAAATTTGTCTTTACGTTTTTAATTTTCTCTTACTTCGTATTCCCTTCTTCGATTAATGTTTTTGTCCCCATTTCTTGTACTGTCTTTCCTTCCATATTTGTCATACTTCAATCGACCGATTGAATGTTTGGTAAAATGCAAGAGGGTATTGGTTTGGAAAGGGGGGGGGGGGGGGGTCCTTCACTTTTGCCAGTATTCTTCTATTTGTTAAGCCAGTTAATTTGTCTCTATTCTTTATAAATTTTGCCGATTTTCTCTATTCTTTATATCTTAGCACCCTATTATTCTCTGTTCTTATTTTTTTTTACCTATTTTCTCATTCTTTCCATTGTTTGCCTTTGTCCCTTATTCTCTATTCTGTAAAGCCCATCCATACCCTCATGCAATGATTGCATTAGATTAAGAAAGCACCGGGATCTTAGCACAAAATAAATACATAAAACATTTATTCCGTGTCCGCGCTCCGCCTGCTCATCATTGCGTTATATACTGTACTTAACCATTCAGTGTATGTTGCAATGTCCGTCCGTCTGTATGTCGAGCATAGTTTTTACCGTTACTGACTCTTTCCTCGATGTTAACAGATGGACTAGTGTAAGGTCGTGTTTTGTAATAACAACTTGATATCCATGTGATATGTATTTACCTTAGGGTCACCAGAGTTCAGAATGTAACGTGATGTTATCATCTGTATTGACCGGGTTATATAAAGGTAATCTGATTAAAACAAGGTCATATTGACAGGTTTTCCTTCAGAACATTGATTATTTAGTTTAGTGTGCAAGACTGATACTCACAGATCCAGCGGAAAAAGGAAATGTACTGTACAAAATGATCTAGCTGTTTGCTTATTAAAAGAAATAGAAAGTCTTTCTAAAAGAAAGAACCGACATCACCAAACTTGATATATATAACTCGACGTTAAGTTTTACTTATATTTTTTTATCAATGTTTTTTTTTGTTATCAAAAGACGTGTGTACTTGCGGTATCGTTTATTTCATTTTGTCTACATCTCAAGTTCATTCTAATTGAAACCCGCTATATATAAACCTCAGGCTCTTGTCTCTGAAAACATACATGCATACCCTAATACTAGTATATACAAGGTCTATTTGTATTTTTTTTCATAGACAAGTGCATGTTTTCTAAACCGAAAGAGTTCGGCAAAGTTTTTTGTATATATTTTTCTTCCTAGAACTTAGTTTACATGCATGTGTTTGAAAATAAGAAGATGTGGTATGATTGCCAATAAGGCATGTAACTCTTCACCAGAGACCATATCACGTAGGATTAAGTAACTTTATTATCATGATTATGTTCACATTTGAGTAAAGTGTATCAGAACATTAATATTAATCTCTTTTTGAAAGCCAATAGTAATATATATCTTTGGAAGGGGATGGCTCGACAAAACAACTAATTAAAATAATGTTACAACCACCGTTAACTGGCTCCCGTATCCGAATTAATGTTTTAAGAATAATTATCTAAGCGTGCATGTTTCATCATAGTTAGAGGATGTCTCTTTCATAATTAATCCAGCCATTGTTACATGCCTTTGGTCAGTATCATGGAAAATAAAGGATATTGTTTTCCAATTCATGAAACAAAATTACAAGTCGGACATGAAAAGAGGAGGGGGTTACTTCAATATTTTTTTGGGAGGGGTGTGCCATTTTTGCCTCAAAAACGTACCCGTTTTAATATAGCATTCACTGAAATTCAGTACCTATAGTTATATAAATATTTAAGAAAGAATGAACTATACTTATATACAATATTTAAAATATGACCCATGCTTATTTAAGCACTAAATCTATATTATCACTCATAATTCATAAATATACAGCTACCCTTAAGTTTTTATACGACCGCAAAATTTTTTTTGGGATCGTATAATGGTATGATGTCGTCGTCGTCGTCGTCTGCGTCGTCGTCCGAAGACACATTGGTTTCCGGACAATAACTTTAGTTTAAGTGAATGGATCTTTATGAAATTTTTTAAGAAGGTTCGATACCACAAAAGGAAGGTTGGGATTGATTTTGGGGATGATGGTCCCAACCGTTTAGGAATTAGGGGCCCAAAAAGGGGCCACAAACAAGCATTTTTCTAGTTTCAGGATAATAACTTGTGTATAAGTATTTCGATTGCTCTGAAATTGTACAACAATGTTTAATACCACAAGTAGAAGGTTGGGATTCATTTTAGGGGTTATGGGGCCAACAGTTTAGGAATTAAGTGCCAAAAAGGGGCAAAAAACCAAGCATTTTTCTAGTTTCCATACAATAACTTGTGTGTAAGTGTATGGATCTCTCTGACATTGTACCACAAGGTTCCATATAACAAAGGGAAGGCTAGGATTGAGTTTGGGGTTAATTGTCCCAAACATGTAAGAATCAGGGGCCAAAAAGGGTCAAAAACAAGCATTTTTCTAGTTTCCAGACAATAACTTGTGTGTAAGTGTATGGATCTCTCTGAAATTGTACTACAAGGTTCCATACTACAATGGAAAGGCTGGGATTGAGTTTTGGGGTTATTGCTCCGAGGGGGGTTTCAAAAAGTTGGGGGGGGGGGGGGGGTTTCCCAATTTTTTTAAGGGATTCATATTTTTTTTCAAAATTTTTAAGAAGAAATCTTCAATTGCACAGTATTGCGCAATGGATTTATAAGATCTTTGACCACATTTATTTTGTGTCAGAAACCTATATTATGTCAAAAATTTGATTACAATCCAAATTCAGACAGTATCAAGCTTGAATATTGTGTCCAAATTTGACCCAACTGTTCAGGGTTCGACCTCTGCGGTCGTATCAGGCTGCGCTCAGCGAAGCATTTTATTATATATGAATTGACATCCGGGGTTCATTTGGGAACTTATTTGAAAGGTGAACTTTCAAATAATGTAATAATTGACCATTAATGATATAAGATATTCAATTTATTATATGTAGATCCTACCCCAGATCAATATACAGTTATTAAACGTAAATGCATTTTAATATAGGATGTCATTAAAAAGGAGGGTCATTTTTATATAAAATCTCGCAAAATTATGACCCATATTTTTGGCCCATCCCCATATACCCAATAATAGGAAGTAACCACCCCCACGTCTGTATATGAGATGACTCTTATTTATCTCAGTGGAGATGATAATTCTGATAATATGCAGAAGCTTTGCTTCATTCAGCTACAAACTAAATACCAGGGACTATTACACTGTTTGTCCGAGTCAGAAATTTTGTTTGCGCAAAGCGCGAAAATTTTTTTTTTAGTTTTTCGACGCTATCAATCAAATTATTTTTTTCAAAATTTAGCACTATATGCCATGGGGAAAATCTGGATTCAGAATATTTTTTTTGTCATCTGCTTGACCACAATATTTTTTTCGTCAAATTGGGGTTTTAGGAAAAACTGAACCATAACCCCATAATTATGTGAAATGCTGTACGTGACAATTAATGAATTATTACACAACTTTACTTTTTTTCAAATATATATATATAGTTCCGGGTGTAGCTCATGTGATTATTGATATTTTTCTATAAATAGTACTTGTTAATTTTCTTTTAAATAAGGTTATGTGTATTGCTTTGACTCATTAATAATCAATACAATATCGTACCTTTGACATCAACCAATCAGAACGTTCTATTTTATATATGAACTTTAACCCCACCTCCACATGATCCGCCATTCAGTCAGACGTACGTCAAAATTTACGTTATGATTTCTTCAGTCTCTTCTAAAAATTAAGAACATTCTCTTGGGGGAATACAGTACAAATATTGAAAAATTGATTTCAAAAGATATTTTTGGCCACATTAAAGGAACGAACATTAGGATTTATCGGTAAGTGCATGCATAAAAAATATATATAGAGTTGCAGTGAGACCGGTGTTTGACCACACGGATATTGACCCTCGGGCTTGACTACACTGTTTCTATCACTCGTGTATTGTATATGGGTGTTTGACGTAACTGCTCATAATGACTAGACCATAACAATTATCTTTGTGATTATCAATAGACAAACAGGTGATAAGGTGAAAGAACATGAGTGTGTTACATGTTTGTTAGGGAGTCTGGCTTTGAACACAAGATAAGAACATATAGCTATCTGAGTAAGTGAACATTTATATACCTACATAATAATACTACATCAAATCTATGTAAGATTCATATATTTTTACAGTAAAGTAATTGAATTGTTTGTTCTTATAGTATGAACCTTGAAGTTGGCAATGTGTCAATTATTTATTTGTTTATACTATAATTTGGTCCTCATCCAAAAGAGATAAGTATCAATGTGACATGGTGTAGAAAAATATAGAATTTGACTATGAATTATATAATTGAAAATTTTGTCCAAGACTTTAAAATTTTAAGTCCATGAAAATTGGAATAAAGGAATTTAATTGTTGAAAACAGTTGACCTACTTACATTGTAAACATAACCTACATGTAGTTTGCATTCCATGGATGTCTTCTTGTTTTATCTATACTGTATAAAAATAGTTTTTTTTTTAATTAGACAGATAAATGTAGTGCTTTTGTATACCCCTCCCCCTTTTATGTTTATGTCAATTTTTGGCATGTTAAAATCATCAAATTTGTCTTTGTCAAAGACAAATTTAAATTATTTGTATGCTTGGCGCTACTTTTTACCATCAAGGCATTTACATCCTCTAGCTTTCATCGAACGTGTACACGTTCAACAAGGAAAGAATATCTACATTTTTCATTTACCAAATTGATGCTTTCTTCATTTGAAGTAATACTGGATGAATCAAATTACTGTAAATGAGGGTAAAATGTTGTATACATGTAATAAATTTTATACAATTATATAGTCAAATATGATGGGTATTAAATGTAGATGTATTAAAATTTGTTTTTTTTGAAAGACCAAATTATTCAACTTATGTCAGTCTTCTCTAAAGTTTGAACTTTGTGTCTGACATCTGGTTACCTTCTCTGTAGTAGCTATTGGACATCCTGGTACTCGGTCAAGTAAGAGCAACAGAAAGAAGTAAAATTAAGCTTGCGATCAGTGCAATTTAGGGGGGAAATTAATTGTTTATTAATGTTTTTATACACATCAAAGTCTTTGGAAAATAGTAAAATTTCCCCCCAAAGTGCATCGATTATATGTTTTATTTTTCTTCTTTTTGTTGCTCGGGTACCAGGATGTCCTACCATACAGTAGGTAACCTGTCGTAAAATTATAAAAACCAGAGTTAAAAGTTGTATTATGAAAATAGTCTATTTGCCTGACTGATATATATATATATATGGAGATCACATTGAAAAATTGAAAAACATTGTTTGACATTTGGTCAGACAATTGGCAATACTTATCTGACCGAACCAAAATTTGCCTGACATGTGCAGCGGTCATGCATATTTCAGGACCTCTGTAATGACAATCATACAACATCTAATTAATTTCTATGGATAAATAATCTCTCAATATTCTGTATTCTTACACAGTTATGCCACATCAATATCAACCCGACAGTAGATGGCACAGCAGCTTACGCTGGGGAAATTTTTTAGGGGAATTTCCATGATCCAAAAATAACAAAACCTGATGAAATGATATCATGTCAATATTGACGGTTAAGGATGTTCGCTCCTCTTGTTTTTATACGACCACATAAAAATTTTTGTGGTCGTATATTGGTATGACGTTGGCGTCGTCGTCGTTGTCCGAAGACACATTAGTTTTCGCACTCTAACTTTAGTTTAAGTGAATGGATCTCAATGAAATTTTACCATAAGGTTCAATACCACAAAAGGAAGATGGGGATTGATTTTGGGGGTTATGGTACCCACAGTTAAGGAATTAGGGGCCAAAAAGGGGCCAAAAATAAGCATTTTTGTAACTTCCAGACATAAATTGTGTGTAAGTGTATGGATCTCTCTGACATTGTACCAGAAGGTTCCATATCATAAAAGGAATGCTGGGATTGATTTTGGGGGTAGTTGCCTCCAAATTTTAGGAATTAGGGGCCAAAAAGGGGCAAAAAACAAGCATTTTTCTAGTTTCATGACTATAACTTGTGTGTAAGTGTATGGATCTCTCTGACATTGTATCACAAGGTTCCATATCACAAAGGGAATGCTGGGATTGATTTTGGGGGTAATTGCCTCCAAATTTTAGGAATTAGGGGCCAAAAAGGGGCTAAAAACAAGCATTTTTCTAGTTTCATGACAATAACTTGTGTGTAAGTGTATGGATCTTTATGAAATTGTACTACAAGGTTCCATATCACAAAGGGAAAGCTGGAATTGAGTTTGGGGGTAATTGCCCAAAAAGTTTAGGAATAAGGGGCCAAAAATAATCATTTTTCTAGTTTCCAGACAATAACTTGTGTTCAAATGTATGGATCTCTCTGAAATTGTACTGCAAGGTAACATACCACAAAGGGAAGGCTGGGATTGATTTTGGGGGTAAATCCCTCAAAATTTTAGTAATTAAGGGCCATAAAAGGGAAAAAAAACAAGCATTTTTTTCAAGTTTTAGGACAATAACTTGTGTGTAAATGTATGGATTTTTATGAAATTGTACTGCAAGGTTCCATATCACAAAGGGAAAGCTTGGATTGAGTTTGGGGGTAATTGCCCTCAACGTTTAGGAATTTGGGGCCAAAAAGGGGCCAAAAAACAAGCATTTTTCTAGTTTCCAGACAATAACTTGTGTTCAAGTGTATGGATCTCTCTGAAATTGTACTGCAAGGTACCATACCACAAAGGGAAAGCTGGGATTGAGTTTGGGGGTGATGAATCATAAGGGGTTCAAAAAATTGGGGGGGATTTTTTTTTCCTTTTTCTTTAAAATTTTCCATTTTAAATTGGTTATTTCTGATTTATATATAAAAGCAAATAATAATGATATGGTTTGAATAGGTAAACCAAAAATTTTTAAGTTCTTAGACCACTTTCATTCTGTGTGAGAAACCTATGCTGTGTCAAATATTTAATTACAATCCAAATTCAGTGCTGTATCAAGCTTGAATATTGTGTCCATACTTGCCCCAACTGTTCAGGGTTCGACCTCTGCGGTTGTATCAAGCTGCGCCCCAGCGGAGCATTTCATTGAATTTTTGTCAGATATTGGGAATCCTCTGGTTTTATCCATGTAGTGCCATTAAAAATTTTGCCCACTAAGCCCTATTTTTCTTTTCATAATTTTATAACATATAGTTTAAAAAGCCATTTTTGAAAATCTTTTAAAATCCTTGTTATTTTTTCATAGTTTTTGACAGAAAACAGTGCCAATGTAAATAGTATGAAAAATCTAGAGAGAATCATTTCCCGCCAAATTTCAACGGCTTATGTCTCAAAAAACAAGCTCATTTTTTTTCTGCTTTTTTTAGTTACGTTATTTATATACTTTCAATTTATAACAGTCTTTTAAAAAGCTTGTTATTTTGAAACAGAGTAGGGAACATCCTTAAGAAATATTTTTATAGCAAGAATAAAACTTTGATGAGAGGATTTCTCTTTCAGACAAGTATAATAGCACTGTCACGTGCCAGAAAGACAAGTTGATAAAGTTAAAGTTGAAACCCTGGTACAGTTGTTTAAGTTTTTGATTAGGTTGCACCTGAAGGCCAAACAAGTAGCCTCTGTCTCTCAGCAGAAGAAAAAAACATCAAATCTGGACATAAAAAAACAACTTACAGTCTGACACCATTTATGTAATAAGAAAGGTTATCTGTACTGGCATGACTGAGTTCATAGGGATTTAAACTTGTTATTAATTGTGTCAGATAAAGATTAATAAAATTAAAAGCTTGTTTATGTGTGAGCCAAAATTGATTGTTTCCTTCTTAACCTTATTCATTTAAAGAAAATATCATACCATACCTGATTACCATTTATTAAGCATGTTAAAAGAAATAATAATATAGTACCAAAGTTTTTCTTATAGTAACACAAAATTATTCATGTTATTCTCTAAACAAAACGATATTTGAATTTTCTAGGAAATCCATTAAACTGACACAATCATCGACTTGAAAGATAATCCATTGAAATCGGAGCTACATCTAAATATGAATTTTTAGCAAGTTTAATATACAGGTATTAGACCTACAAGGTACAAATGTAACCTGTTATTAAAACAGTGAAATAACGATTATTCTTTCACAGTTAACCATCATATTTAGGCCCATAGCCAGGATGTCTCTTTAGGGGGTTATTTGGGATCATAAAGCTCTGACTTAAATAGTCAAACTTCAATGGGAATCTCTACTTTTATAGTCTTTTCTTGTATTTTTGTTTTTGTTTTTATAGAGGGTTTGTCTGAACCCCTCAAACCCCCTGGCTTCATGTACAAGTTTGATGTTTATATTTAGTTATTGTAAAGTGGCGAATTCCGATTGTAAGTGATATTAAAAATCAAACCTAAGATCTCTATTGGGTAGCCCTAGTGACCAATCTTTTGTTATTTGTTGTTGTTGTTTTGCTGTCTCATTGACAAACATGTATATCATATATATATATTTATCGCTATTTTACGAAATTTTCCTTTGATCTTGCTGACTGATAATTTTCTTTCTCAGCGTAGTCGAGTGATATGAAAATTATCGCTAGAAACTAAGGGGGCACGTGCGTTGCTAATGAAATTGACATGAAATTGACAACGTCGTCATAGGTAAAATAACGACAAACAGACAAACAGATTATCATTGGTCATCTCAACTCCATTGCTTTTCTCACTTTCGCCGTACCGGCTCAAGCGAGAAAATCAATCTCGTTGAGATGATCAACGATAATCTATAAATAGCACACATTTGAATTTTTCCATTTATTCAGATAAAGTTTTGTAATTTTAAAAAGTCTATTACTTGAAGTATGTTTCGGTTCAAAAATTTCCAGGTAAGTTGTAGTATGTCATCAAAGTTAAAATAATCACAAAGTAGCTATTTATATCTATTTCAAAGAGATGATCAGATAAGTAATAAAATATGTATGTTAATATAATTAAAAAAGAAAAGTGTCAATAAAATTAACATTTTGTACTTATACAGATAAAATTTAACATGTTTGATATCCTGTTTATATACTATCAAAAAGTTGATGTAATATATATATTAGCCAGAGAAACATCTGTTAAAAATTTTTATTACTGAAACTTATTCTATTTGTCATGTCTGCCCTACTAAATGCCAGTAATTAAAAAAGAACCATCTCAAAATTTTAAATGACTGTTTAACAGACTTGTATTGAAATAAAATTAGGTCACTTTGTTTAAGGTGCAATGAACTCCGAGGCGTTATTTAAAACCCATAGAAATCAAAAGATTGAAGATAATATACATGACGCACATGGTTTGAAAAAAGATATATATATATATATATACTGCGTAATAACAATCATATATTTATAAAACTGACAATCATGAGGTTTCTAAAGTATTAATCAAGGCATGTGACCATCAGATACCTAAACAATCATGACAAGCAAGAAAATATGGTGGGTTAAGTCGGGTTTAATCTAGCCGTTAAATCAGGTTTAATTTAGCCAGTTGCTTTTATATAAATATTTAAACCATGATGTCATTAAATGTACTGGTAATTCTTGCAATTATCATGCTTTATCCGCAAAAAAGATTTCCTTAAAGACCCCTCTTTGATTTTTGAAAGCTATTATTTTGTATTAATTATAGCAGATATATACATCATGTACATGACATGCATACCTTCAGGGTACAAAATTGTCAAAATGGTTATCAAAATACTTACAGCTTTCAGGAACTCTTGCAAAGTACTTAGACTCATCAATTTCATCATGGACTTGCCTTATTTTGTAAAGTGGTAATCTCCACATTAGAGGAACTGATTATAATTATGCCCCCGTCGTAGCAGAGGGGGCATTAAGTTTTACCCTTGTCCGTCTGTACGTCGGTCCCTCCGTACGTCCATACGTCCCATTTTAACCAAATGTTATGATACTTATACACAATGCTTATTACCACAAAACTCAGATCAAGTAGGAATTTGGGTAGCTTCACTTTTACTGTTCTTGAGTTATATCCCTTTATAAGGTTATATGCAAGCGGAGGCATCATCTGTGTCCCCATTTATTTTGTAGTTTATACATGTTGTCTTTGATGCACCACATCAAAATCTTGCACATATCAGTGTGCAAATTTCCCATGAAAATTTGGAAGCAAAATCCTGATGACTTATTGTGCAGAAATCTGTACCTATTCCATTACAAAAAACCTTCAGAGAACCTCAAGCCTCTGACATAGTCATACTGGCTGACATTAATTTTGAATACCTGAGACATGTGAGAGAACCAAAATTTTGCATGATATTATAAAATTTAAAGAAGGAGACTTCTGAATAAGAGAACTTCCAGTAACCATGGTAACCACTAGAGGCTAAAGGATGAAGATGTAAACAACTATACATGCTATAGGTCACAGTATTGCCTTCAACAATGAGCAAAAGCCATAGTGTATAGTAATCTTTAATAGGCCCTGGCTATAAAAAAGAGAGACTTCGATCATGCTTTAATCTTGTTCATTTATTTGCAGATTTTGAAAAGAAGATTTCAACAAATTTTAAAGCCATCTTGAGCCAAATCACAGAAATGTCTACCATGTAAGGGAAGATAACCCAGCATGAGTTATTTCAGTTATGTCGGCAAACTATTTTCTAACGTCAAAGGATTTTACAATGAAATCAATGCAGCAACGTTAACAGGTGCTATAGATGTCATCATTGTCGAACAAGAAGATGGTGGATTCAAATCTTCACCATTCCATGTTAGATTTGGTAAACTTGGGGTCATTCGAGCTAGAGAAAAAGTGGTGAGTTGGTTGATTACATATATATTAATTGTAATACATGTAATAAAGAAATGATACATGTACATGTATAGGGTTAACAGGAATGATCAAATGTAGTGGGACAGTACATAGTACAACAATCCACAGCCTACTGCTCTGAAAATATGTCCAAATCTTATAAAGTAATTTCAATTAATATTAATTTTTTATTTAAGAATACATATGTATTGGTCATTAGATATATAGGAAGATGTGGTATGAGTGCCAATGAGACAATTCTCCATCCAAGTTACAATTTATAAAAGTAAACCATTATAGGTCAAGGTACGGCCTTCAACACGGAGCATTGGCTCATGTTTGTAATTTGCAATATATCAATATTTTATACACATTGAATTAATAACTTTAAGGTTACATGTTTTATGAACAAATTCGAAGATCTATAGGTATTTGCTAATTATCTGCATATATAATTTTTTGGAACACTGTCATGTACATAAAATGAAAAATGACAAAAAGACAAACAACAGTCTTACAAAACTACACAGAAAACTAAAAACTGAGCAAGACAAACCCAACCAAAAACCAGGGTGATGGCAGGTGCTCTAGAAGGAAAAGCTGATTCTGCTCCACATGTGGCACCCATCACATAAAAAAAACGTACATTAGAAATCAATTTTTTAAAGCATGTACTATTATAAGATATGAAAAAAAAGACCACAAAAATACAGACAAAAGCACTGATGGAAAATTGCTTTATGTTCTTATTCAATACTTCAAACGAACATAAAGCATTTACAAAGTAAAAACTCAACACAGTTTTTGGTTATCAGCTCGCCCCGACAGCACAGAAAGCTTATTTTTATTATAAACAATAAACAAATGTCCAATTTGCTGTCATCGACCGCTGCCATCACATATAAACACAATCTACAATAGAAAAATGTTCTATAAGTTGAAGAAAAAATCATTTCGATTTACATACATGTATTTTATCAACTATTTTCTACATAACATACTGATTCACATTCCTATGAAGTCTTAATAAAAGGGGTGGGTGGGTGGGAAAACGAACCTTTCTGTCGGATAGGCGAACCTCGAATGACAATTCTAGATATCTTATTATAATTTTAGCGCTAAAATTCTAGCATGAAGTTATCATGATTGATATAACTTAAACCGGTAATAACTTACTGATGGTCCAATCAAATTAAACATAAACATGTTTTGATTTAAACACACGTGTTAAAAGTAAACAAATACACGTGTTCCCGAGTAACCTTTATAAATACATTTATGTTCTTATTCAATACTTCAAACGAACATAAAGCATTTACAAAGTAAAAACTCAACACAGTTTTTGGTTATCAGCTCGCCCCGACAGCACAGAAAGCTTCGATTGATAAAGAAAGGGACATAAAGAAAAAGGGGGGACAAACAATATAAATTACAATCCTAAATTCTTAGATACTGACAATCTGTTGAGTATACTCTCTTTAACATAACCATCTTTGGCTTTATCACTTTTCCATCTCCCGTGTTTCTTAAACAACCGGTCATCTATTCCAGCTTCTGCCGCGGCAGTAGCTCCTCCTGACCTCAAACTATGTAAGCCAAACTGTTTTTTATCAAGACCTAAACTGTCAAGTGCAGATAACAATAACTCTCTGGCTCTGGTGTAAGAAATATGACTACTCTTTCTAAGTTTGTATATATTCAAAGATTTACAATAACAAATAGATCTAAAAATAAAATCATTCGATTCTTCAGGAATGTTAGCTAACTTTAGATAACGCTGAAGTACATCTACCGGGCATGTAATATTCCCTGTTTTTGAAATGACAACATCTTTCCCTTCCCTATATACATCAGTTTTACTCTTGACTAAATGAAGTGTAAGGTAAGTAGGGGAAAACTGTATATCAGACCTTCTCAAGTTAGCTAACTCGGAGAATCTTAAAAAGCCAGCATAGGCTAATAAACACATACATGCTATTCTTACATCTTTTAAATTACAAGTATTATTAGCATATTTACATACAATATTTTTCAAAATATGCGGTGTGATAGGTTCTTTTTTGAAAACTGAATGACCTATTTTTCTATGAGCCCCTTCAAGAACAGATGCAACTAGATTATTTTCACTGGGATCAGCAACGCCAGCTAATTTATGTGCCCATTTTATGGCGTAAAAAGCATCATTTAATTTTGAAACCGATTTTGCAGTTTCAGACAAATGAATTAAATATAAAGAAATATGTAAATGAGATGCTGGCAATGGTGAAAAAGAATATTGACTAGTCCACTTACACCATGAATTGAAGGCATATCTATATTTCTTCTGAGTACTCGCAGCCTTGGACGAAAGAAGGAATTCTGGTAACTGTTTGAACAAACTGCTGAGATCATTATTAGATGCAACTTGTGAATTAAAGTCTGACCAATGTCCTACTGAAAAAATATCTGAAAAACGTAAAATTGCAATAACATTTTATATACATATACAGAGGACGAATTATTAGCATATTTCAGATTTCTATACACAGTAAAATATAATATATATTCAAATATTTCAACGCCAGCTACAATATCTTTATAGATACTAGGGCCATAAACTGTAAAACAAATTACCATGCCTGCTAAAATATCATTATAGATACTAGGGCCATGTCAAATAAAAAACCAAGCCTGCTACAATATCATTACCGATACTAGGGCCATGTCAACATAAACACCCATGCCTGCTACAATATACATATACTAGGGCCATGTCACAAACAGACCATGACTGCTACAATATATCTATATATATATTAGGGCCATGTCACAAACAGACCATGCCTGCTAAAATATATCTATATATATTAGGGCCATGTCTAAGATGCATCTAGCAAAACAGCCAAAACTGGCGAACCAAACGGTTCAATTCCGAATATCGTATTCTTATTCGAACCTTGCTTATAAATACCATCAGTATTTTTAAACACAATAACATCTTTTACGTAATCTTGATAAATCAGATGTTTATCGAATATCAAAGGCCAGAATGCAGCAGAAATCCACTTAGGCACAACTAACGTGCCTCGAGCTTTACAAGCTATAATGTGTTTAATCGATCGTATCACAAGATTAATTGGTGGAACTAGCCAATTATTTTCATTGGTCCAAACTTGAGAAAATGCATCAACTGCTTCAGAATCAGGTTGCCAAAATAAGGAGTTAAATCTCATAACTTTTCTATTTTCGACACTTGCAAACCTGTCAATCGAATAAGGACCCCACATATCATTTAAAAAATTGAAAAATATATGTGTGACTCCCCAGTCCTCGAAATCAACCATTTTGCTGATATAATCAGCCTTTTCATTTTCTTTTCTGGGAATCCATTGAATGTCAATTGATATTCCTTTTTGAATGCAAAATGAAAAAATAGATTTAGCTATAACATGAAGATTTTCTTTCATACTTCCCGAATTAACAATTTTGACACAATTTTGATTGTCAGTAAACCACTTTATAGTTTTTCCTGTGAAACTATTCTTAAAAGAAAAAAGGGCCAACTCTATAGCTTTCAGCTCTCTCCATGTGGAGCTTTGTACCGTTTCACTACATGTCCACATCTTATGGAAAATCTTATTTTCTAATTCAACGGTGTATGCACCAGCGGCAATATTACTAGCATCTGAGTATATGACAACAGAAGATTTACTGTAATGACATAAATTACGATAGTTAATCATGGTGACATTTTCTAACCAGAACTTTAACTCTGATAAAACCTCGACGGGTTTGTACCCTGTAATGGGAATATCCCACCCAATTCTACTTTCAATTTCCATGTAACAGAACTTTGACATAATTCTAGCCACATTTCCGATTACGGGAGTCATAGAAATAATTCTACCTACAACCTGAGCTAAAGATCTAGCTGTAACATAGGGAAATTTAGCCAAAATTACATTCAATGAGAAAATCAAATCGTCAACTCGACGTTGAGTAATAGATAATTTGTATTCTTTCGAGTTCCAAACTATTCCCAACCATTCTAACTCGGTAACAGGTTTAAAAACAGACTTCTCCTCGTTAATAAGGAAACCAGCATCAATCAAAGACCTTTTTACGAAGGACGATTGCTCATTACATGTATTTTCATCTGGACTCATGCCAAATCCATCATCTAAATACAAAACAACTTTTATACCGTTTCCACGCCAAAATTTTACTAGTGGCCTCAAACATTTAGTAAAAATGTACGGACCGGTAGTAATTCCGAAAGCTAAAACAGTATAGCAATAAAATTGACCTTCCCACTGAAAACCTAAGAAAGTCTGTTGCTGTGAGCATATGTCTAAGTGAAAATAACCAGATTTTAAATCAAACTTAAACAGATACATATCTTTGTCAAAATATTGTATAGCTAACTTCCAATCCTCAAATTTTATTTTTTCGCGCTTTATGTGTTTATTCAATTGACTCATATCTAAAATAAGTCGTTTCTTACCGGACTTTTGAGTAGCAACACTCAATGGATTTACCACATATGGTTGAAAAGGCACTTTAATTACGCAACCTATTTGAACTAAATCTTCAATTGACTTTGTGACAAATTCAGTATTCTGCCGTGCTGATCTATTATTTCTGTGGTACATTTTAAAAGGTGTATCTATAAATGGAATAACATAACCATTTTTTATTGTATCAAGCACAAAAGGACAAGCACCTATATTTTCCCAATACTTTACATGACAAGCTAATCTACCTTTCACCCCTTTAAATTTATCATATGACTGACAATTTTCAAAATATTGAACTTGATCTAAAAAAGATTCTATATAATCGTTATCAACAAAACATGTAGAAAATTGGTCATTAATAGTGTCTAAATACTTATCATTCACAATGACTGGAGAGTGACGTTCAGGCCCTACTTTACTACTTCTGGTAGGTTGTGGAGTTGCTGTTGGATGACCTGAGACTGGCGAGAAGAGGACAGTTTTTTCTCCAGTGGCCTTGTTGCTTGCAGTAGTGGCACGTGTCGATTGAGCAAGGCTCACGCCTTGCGAAGCTCCCACGAAAGGGCTGTTGCTGATTACGTTGATAATGCTGAGCGTAAGCAGGGTTACCATAAGATTCCGCAGGTTGTTGACGAGGCGGATTTTTTGGGTAAGGTTGCTGGCGAGATTTTGACTTCTCCTTGGAGGTACGGATAGCTCTGGTCTCAGCTTGTCGTATCTTTCTCTCATCTTCAGAATCTGAAGCCACGGCATTGGATTCGTATTCCCTAACGGTTCCCCAACCAGCAGGGGAAGCATCAGCTATGCGTATTTTCTTATTACGGCTTTTGATCTTATCAGTTATGTCAAGAACTAATCTATAGGCTTGAGTATTGGAGTTAGGGATGAATTTTGAAAGTTTATTAACAGTGTCTAATAATTCCTCGTTAAAGGTGTACTGAATTCTGTTTCCTTCCCCCTTAAATTTTAGAGTGACGTCCTCCTTAATTTTTCTCTTAAGGCAATCTTGTTCTTGTATGAGTTCAGATTTCAACTCACCTAACTTGCTGTCTAAAATTGTCTTAAAAAGCTCTACAGTATCTACCAAATCAGACGACTTATCAGCTGCTTTATGAATATTAGGTGGCGGTAAACTATTATCTCCTTCGAGTAGTATGTCTTCATTCAATTCCAGACGTGGAGAAGATTCGGACATTTTACCAAGTGGCGATTTAAGAAAAAACGAACCTTTCTGTCGGATAGGCGAACCTCGAATGACAATTCTAGATATCTTATTATAATTTTAGCGCTAAAATTCTAGCATGAAGTTATCATGATTGATATAACTTAAACCGGTAATAACTTACTGATGGTCCAATCAAATTAAACATAAACATGTTTTGATTTAAACACACGTGTTAAAAGTAAACAAATACACGTGTTCCCGAGTAACCTTTATAAATACATCTTAAATGTATTTCCTGAAAGGAAGCTCAAAGTGTTTGATTGATACTTAACCTACAAATTTGATTTGTGCTAAGTCCTTTCTCATTGACTGTAAGATCCTGTCTATTTTATTCTTTGTTTTTGACCCGGTTATAAGACATCACAACCAAATTATTGTTTATAGAATGATATGGTTTATCTATAACCTGGTTACTGATTGTAAGATAGTACAGGTACATTGAGTACAGTGTATAAACCAAACATACTGTGGATACATAATAATTCATGGAATACCAATTTTTGTGGATTTTGTTGGTATAGGTGAATCATGAATTTAAATGTTCAACAAAATACAAATTTTCCATAGGCTTGAACATTGTTGAATGCATACTTTTGTGAAACTACAAAATCAAATATCCACTAGAATACAAGTTTTTTTTAATCCACAAAAATCCACAGTACAGCATTTTTTGTACAGCAGAGATGTTGAAATAGACCTACTTTTCGTATTTATTAGTATTTCCAACTTCTTGACAAGACCAGCTTAATACTCATCATACATGATAGAAACTCTTTCTTAAGATGACAAATGATGGATGATATGAAATATAGAACATAAGGTATAAAGTTGAGGCTACTTAACAAAAAGGTTTTAGGTGAAACCTTATGATTGATGTCAAATCTTGCAGATTTCTATTATTTTTATTGCCTAAAATTTACACAAGATGGCCATCTGTTTGTTAATTATTCATACTTTGAATTTAAATCTTAGGTTGACATAGAGATAAATGGAGAGGGTGTTGATTTGCATATGAAGTTGGGAGAATCTGGGGAAGCTTTCTTCGTGACAGAGGTTCCAACAGATGAAGATGTGGAGGTATGTAGGAACAAAAAAATATATGGTAGTAACATTTTACAAGGTGATATTTATATATAAAAGTGTTCATATATATTTTAGAAAATACAATTATTAAACACTTTTGACATGATTCCTGACATGCCTGAAGACTGAAATCAAATGTATCGAGGTCTCGTAGGAAATTTCATTTACAATATCCGTTTTGTAAGTGACATGCTTTAGCTTCTCTTCTTATATCTATATATAATGAACATTTTGAAGAGAAATTTCTTAATTGAACAGACTTAATTGTTTTTTCTCGAACTTTTTTGTCCAAAGGGTTTTGGTGGTTGCTGTAAAAATGATTTTAAAGTATTTTAATGAGAATTTAACATATCTGATATTGGAAACAAATGAATTTTATTTTTTAAGGGAACTCTGTACTACAATCAATGGTTAAGATGAATTATTGTGAGGATAAGAGTTAGAACAAGAACTGAAAAATATGTTTGTGTAATGAAACATCTTTGAATTTCTGTCATTCATTTTTCTAATAAAATGATAAAAACCCTGTCTATTTAATCTGCTGTATATTTATCATGTTTATGATACATGGTATCTGCTGTATATTTATCATGTTTATGATACATGGTATCTACTGTATATTTATCATGTTTATGATACATGGTATCTGCTGTATATTTATCACGTTTATGATATATGGTATCTGCTGTATATTTATCATGTTTATGATATATGGTATCTGCTGTATATTTATCATGTTTATGATATATGGTATCTGTTGTATATTTATCATGTTTATGATATATGGTATCTGCTGTATATATGGTATCTGCTGTATATTTATCATGTTTATGATATATGGTATCTGCTGTATATATGGTATCTGCTGTATATTTATCATGTTTATGATATATGGTATCTGTTGTATATTTATCATGTTTATGATATATGGTATCTGCTGTATATATGGTATCTGCTGTATATTTATCATGTTTATGATACATGGTATCTGCTGTATATTTATCATGTTTATGATATATGGTATCTGCTGAATATATGGTATCTACTGTATATTTATCATGTTTATGATATATGGTATCTGCTGTATATTTATCACGTTTATGATATATGGTATCTGCTGTATATTTATCACGTTTATGATACATGGTATCTGCTGTATATTTATCATGTTTATGATATATGGTATCTGCTGTATATATGGTATCTACTGTATATTTATCATGTTTATGATATATGGTATCTGCTGTATACATGGTATCTACTGTATATTTATCATGTTTATGATATATGGTATCTGCTGTATATTTATCACGTTTATGATATATGGTATCTGCTGTATATATGGTATCTGCTGTATATTTATCATGTTTATGATATATGGTATCTGCTGTATATTTATCATGTTTATGATATATGGTATCTGCTGTATATATGGTATCTGCTGTATATTTATCATGTTTATGATATATGGTATCTGTTGTATATTTATCATGTTTATGATATATGGTATCTGCTGTATACATGATATCTACTGTATATTTATCATGTTTATGATATATGGTATCTGCTGTATATTTATCACGTTTATGATATATGGTATCTGCTGTATATATGGTATCTGCTGTATATTTATCATGTTTATGATATATGGTATCTGCTGTATATTTATCATGTTTATGATATATGGTATCTGCTGTATATATGGTATCTGCTGTATATTTATCATGTTTATGATACATGGTATCTGCTGTATATTTATCATGTTTATGATATATGGTATCTGCTGAATATATGGTATCTACTGTATATTTATCATGTTTATGATATATGGTATCTGCTGTATATTTATCACGTTTATGATATATGGTATCTGCTGTATATTTATCACGTTTATGATATATGGTATCTGCTGTATATATGGTATCTACTGTATATTTATCATGTTTATGATATATGGTATCTGCTGTATACATGGTATCTACTGTATATTTATCATGTTTATGATATATGGTATCTGCTGTATATTTATCACGTTTATGATATATGGTATCTGCTGTATATATGGTATCTGCTGTATATTTATCATGTTTATGATATATGGTATCTGCTGTATATATGGTATCTACTGTATATTTATCATGTTTATGATATATGGTATCTGCTGTATATTTATCACGTTTATGATATATGGTATCTGCTGTATATATGGTATCTACTGTATATTTATCATGTTTATGATATATGGTATCTGCTGTATACATGGTATCTACTGTATATTTATCATGTTTATGATATATGGTATCTGTTGTATATATGGTATCTGCTGTATATTTATCACGTTTATGATATATGGTATCTTCAGTATATTTATCATGTTTATGATATATGGTATCTGCTGTATATTTATCATGTTTATGATATATGGTATCTGCTGTATATTTATCATGTTTATGATACATGGTATCTGCTGTATATTTATCATGTTTATGATATATGGTATCTGCTGTATATATGGTATCTACTGTATATTTATCATGTTTATGATATATGGTATCTGCTGTATATTTATCATGTTTATGATATATGGTATCTGCTGTATATTTATCATGTTTATGATATATGGTATCTGCTGTATACATGATATCTACTGTATATTTATCATGTTTATGATATATGGTATCTGCTGTATATTTATCACGTTTATGATATATGGTATCTTCAGTATATTTATCATGTTTATGATATATGGTATCTGCTGTATATTTATCATGTTTATGATATATGGTATCTGCTGTATATTTATCATGTTTATGATACATGGTATCTGCTGTATATTTATCATGTTTATGATATATGGTATCTGCTGTATATATGGTATCTACTGTATATTTATCATGTTTATGATATATGGTATCTGCTGTATACATGGTATCTACTGTATATTTATCATGTTTATGATATATGGTATCTGCTGTATATTTATCACGTTTATGATATATGGTATCTTCAGTATATTTATCATGTTTATGATATATGGTATCTGCTGTATATTTATCATGTTTATGATATATGGTATCTGCTGTATATTTATCATGTTTATGATATATGGTATCTACTGTATATTTATCATGTTTATGATATATGGTATCTACTGTATATTTATCATGTTTATGATATATGGTATCTGCTGTATATTTATCATGTTTATGATATATGGTATCTGCTGTATATTTATCATGTTTATGATATATGGTATCTGCTGTATATTTATCATGTTTATGATATATGGTATCTACTGTATATTTATCATGTTTATGATATATGGTATCTGCTGTATATTTATCATGTTTATGATATATGGTATCTGCTGTATATTTATCATGTTTATGATATATGGTATCTACTGTATATTTATCATGTTTATGATATATGGTATCTGCTGTATACATGGTATCTGCTGTATATTTATCATGTTTATGATATATGGTATCTGCTGTATATTTATCATGTTTATGATATATGGTATCTGCTGTATATTTATCATGTTTATGATATATGGTATCTGCTGTATATTTATCATGTTTATGATATATGGTATCTGCTGTATATTTATCATGTTTATGATATATGGTATCTGCTGTATATATGGTATCTACTGTATATTTATCATGTTTATGATATATGGTATCTGCTGTATACATGGTATCTGCTGTATATTTATCATGTTTATGATATATGGTATCTGCTGTATATTTATCACGTTTATGATATATGGTATCTGCTGTATATTTATCACGTTTATGATATATGGTATCTGCTGTATATTTATCACGTTTATGATATATGGTATCTGCTGTATATTTATCATGTTTATGATATATGGTATCTGCTGTATATTTATCATGTTTATGATATATGGTATCTGCTGTATATTTATCACGTTTATGATACATGGTATCTGTTGTATATATGGTATCTGCTGTATATTTATCATGTTTAGGATATATGGTATCTTCAGTATATTTATCACGTTTATGATATATGGTATCTTCAGTATATTTATCATGTTTATGATATATGGTATCTGCTGTATATTTATCACGTTTATGATATATGGTATCTACTGTATATTTATCATGTTTATGATATATGGTATCTGCTGTATACATGGTATCTGCTGTATATTTATCATGTTTATGATACATGGTATCTGTTGTATATATGGTATCTGCTGTATATTTATCATGTTTAGGATATATGGTATCTTCAGTATATTTATCACGTTTATGATATATGGTATCTTCTGTATATTTATCACGTTTATGATATATGGTATCTGCTGTATATTTATCACGTTTATGATACATGGTATCTACTGTATATCTATCATGTTTATGATATATGGTATCTACTGTATATTTATCATGTTTATGATATATGGTATCTACTGTATATTTATCACGTTTATGATATATGGTATCTTCAGTATATTTATCATGTTTATGATATATGGTATCTGCTGTATATTTATCATGTTTATGATATATGGTATCTGCTGTATATTTATCATGTTTATGATACATGGTATCTGCTGTATATTTATCATGTTTATGATATATGGTATCTGCTGTATATATGGTATCTACTGTATATTTATCATGTTTATGATATATGGTATCTGCTGTATATTTATCATGTTTATGATATATGGTATCTGCTGTATATATGGTATCTACTGTATATTTATCATGTTTATGATATATGGTATCTGCTGTATACATGGTATCTGCTGTATATTTATCATGTTTATGATATATGGTATCTGCTGTATATTTATCACGTTTATGATATATGGTATCTGCTGTATATTTATCATGTTTATGATATATGGTATCTGCTGTATATTTATCACGTTTATGATACATGGTATCTGTTGTATATATGGTATCTGCTGTATATTTATCATGTTTAGGATATATGGTATCTTCAGTATATTTATCACGTTTATGATATATGGTATCTTCAGTATATTTATCATGTTTATGATATATGGTATCTGCTGTATATTTATCACGTTTATGATATATGGTATCTACTGTATATTTATCATGTTTATGATATATGGTATCTGCTGTATACATGGTATCTGCTGTATATTTATCATGTTTATGATACATGGTATCTGCTGTATATTTATCATGTTTAGGATATATGGTATCTTCAGTATATTTATCACGTTTATGATATATGGTATCTTCTGTATATTTATCACGTTTATGATATATGGTATCTGCTGTATATTTATCACGTTTATGATACATGGTATCTACTGTATATCTATCATGTTTATGATATATGGTATCTACTGTATATTTATCATGTTTATGATATATGGTATCTACTGTATATTTATCATGTTTATGATATATGGTATCTGCTGTATATTTATCATGTTTATGATATATGGTATCTGCTGTATATATGGTATCTGCTGTATATTTATCACGTTTATGATATATGGTATCTACTGTATATTTATCATGTTTATGATACATGGAATCTACTGTATATTTATCATGTTTATGATATATGGTATCTGCTGTATATATGGTATCTGCTGTATATTTATCATGTTTATGATATATGGTATCTGCTGTATATATGGTATCTGCTGTATATTTATCACGTTTATGATATATGGTATCTACTGTATATTTATCATGTTTATGATATATGGTATCTGCTGTATATATGGTATCTGCTGTATATTTATCATGTTTATGATATATGGTATCTGCTGTATATATGGTATCTGCTGTATATTTATCACGTTTATGATATATATGGTATCTGCTGTATATTTATCATGTTTATGATATATATGGTATCTGCTATATATTTTCATGTTGATGATACATGGTATCTGCTGTATATTTATCATGTTTATGATACATGGTATCTGCTGTATATTTATCACGTTTATGATATATGGTATCTGTTGTATATTTATCATGTTTATGATATATGGTTATCATTTGATAGGAGATTCCAGCACATTTGGCCACATCACCCATGCCTTCTAGTGTCGACCTTATGGAGAAAGGAGTGATGGAGATGAAGAAGAAACATGGAGATAAAAGGAAGAAAATAAAGAAAATCAAAGACCTAGATGAAGAAGAAGAGAGTGAACAAAATGAACCGGTATGAACGTGATTTGTAAAGGTTTTATTCCCTCTGTCAAGATGTCCTGTAGAAAACTGAGGATTCCATTATTTTCATGGGTACCAATTTTTTTGGTTTGAGGAAACATTGAAAATTTGTGGGTACTTAATTTCCCAAAGTTTGCAAACAAATTGAAAAAAAATTGATACATTTTAATTACTATGTATTCATTATTATGCATGGGATACTAATTTTTGTGGATTTCACAGGTATAAATAAGTAACCAAGAATTTAAATGATCAATGAAGTACAAATTTTCTATAGGCTGGTATGCAATTTTTCTTCAATCCACGAAAATTGATATCAACAAAAATATATGAAACCACTCTTTATTTGGTTTAACATTAGTCTTGACCTACATTTTCCATGCAAATTTGTACGTTACAAATAATAATGAATCAACATTACATGGTACATGTGGTATAATTTAGAGTTTTTTTTATATGTTTATTTTTTAAAAGCATTTAGATGACTTCTAAATGTGCAAAAATCATTTTCTTCCATTCTCTTGTCCGTATTTTAATTTGGATAAATATGTGATTTAAAAATTGAGACATTTTCACACATGTGGTTCAATTTTCAAAGCACCATGTACAAGACCTCTTGAAATGAAAAACTCAAAATTTTCAATTTCTTGGATGAGTTAGCTGTCATGTCCAATATAATTTAAAAGTATAATTACTCTTGGTACATTTTTATAATTCACAGACAGGACAAGACAGTTTGACAGAAGCAAATGAACAGAGTAGGAAGGTACGAAGGAAACGATCCACAAAAAGGAAGAATCAGGCGGAAACACCTAAAATTGAACCTAGAACAGATGCCACAGAAATATTTGAGATCGATGATGTTTCTTCAGATGAAGAATTAGCAAACCTTCCAATGATTCCTCCTGGCTTGTCCAAGTCTATTAGCCTTCCTGTTGTCGAGGAGAATAAGTTTGAACGTACACGGGAATGGGCTACACAATCATACGATGGATTCCCACATGTATTTAGTGACACAGAAATGTCACCAGTTAGTAGGTCAGTAGACAACTTCTGATCAAATAGTTAATTATAAACTTGATAAGAGAACTGAAGTTTATGACTTCGACAAATGTAACATAATCGTGGGTAGTTAGCACCAGTATGATCTGAGATACAGGAAGTACAAAAATTTCAATAGAATTTTCATTATTACATGTAGGTTCACTCAGAAAATGATGCAGATGATACATATCTTCATTTTCTTTGAAAAATTGAATAAATAGATGTTTTTTTTTTTATGGGAAAATGTTACATTTGGCAATTCACAACTGCTAGTTACTATGGATTCATAATTAGTCCCTACCGACAAAGTCGAAGGGGACTTTAGGTTTGCACACTGTCTGTCTGTCTGTCTGTCTGTCTGTCTGTCTGTCCGTCCATCCGTCAGTCCGGCAAATCAGTTTTCCACACTTTTTTTCTTCGTGCTTGAAGATATTGATTTGAAATTTGGTATATACTTTTATCATGACAAGTTACAGATCAAGTTTGATTTATGTTCCGGTCTGATGATTTTGTGCAGAGTTATGGTCCTTGTTATTCATGGGATATCAATATTTATCAAGTTCCTTGGTACAGGTGAACCACAAATTTAAATGTTAAACATAAAACTAAGTTTTTTATGGTTGTGTGCAGACTTTGACAAAACCATAAAATCACATATCCACGAAAATACAATTTTCCTTAATTCTGAAAATTTGTACCCACAAAAACAAAAGAAACCACAGTAGTATATTTACATATGTAACACTCCCAAACGTGTCCTTCCCCCAAAACGTGTCTGATTCCCCCAAACGTGTCTATTCCCCCCAAACGTGTCCGTAATATTCAATGTTGCCCAAACGTGTCCGATTTCATAACCCCCAAACGTGTCCGATAATTGTTATTCGCCAAAACGTGTCCACTGTTAAACGCCAGAACGTCTCACGTCTTTTAGCGCTAATACATGTATGTCCTAAATGAAATCAATAACGTTTACAGCAATTCTATGATGGGGGAAACAGTTGATCATGAGGTAGTAATTTATTAGCATTAGTTTGTTCAATGCCGGTTGTTAATGATTATCATAATTGCAAATTTAATATGTAATATATGAATTAACTTTTGACTGAATTTGCTTATTGTCCAGTTGCAAGTATTTCATGCTCATTTAGAGCGAACATACAAATAATTCTAGTGCAGTTGAATTAATCGTTTACTATGTAAATTATGTGTTACTAATAAACTCCGATGATGCATTTTATATTAATCCGACGGCAGGCTTTCAGGAAAATTGACTTCCCTTTTTTTCAACAGTTCTGATATTTTAAAAGCTCTTCAAATCAAAAACTAGTTTTCCGGGTTTCTAATAAATTTTAGATTTCGAGCATCACTAAAGACACACGAACCAGAGAAATAACGTCCAGTGCCAAATATTTCATGCATTATTTGAACGAAATCATGTTAACAATAAATACTGTATATAGGTTCTATTATCTTACCGGGAATTTAGGATTGGACCTAAATTTTGACGGTTATTCGGGATTAACACTAGTTGGGATTGTAATCTAAAAAAAATAAGAGCGAGTGAAGACCGATTTTTTTATGACTTCAGTAAGAAACTACTGCAATCTCCGTTATGTAATAGAGGCTGTTTTAAATAAAAGTTGCGGAAATTTAAAAAAAATGTTGCCTTCCAAAATACTACTGATGGCACCATGAAAGAGTGAATTGCTACAAAGGTATTAATGCGCAGAGAATGAGACATTCTCCCTACACGAGGTATCTGATTAAAAATCTACAATTTAACTGAGCATGGCTGCTTACATTTACATCCAACATAGCCGAACGGACGCCCCCACTTTTAACCAGGTTATACTGCTGGTTTAAAAAAGACCTAAAGTAATTTATTTCTATTTTTTAATGAAATAATAAAATGAGTATACGTTAATGAAAAAACAATAACTAAAAATAACCTACGTATTTATAATATGACACGAATGATAGTTCCAGCAGAAGAAAAAATTAAGCTTGATATGGACACGTTTGGGGGATTGGGCACGTTTGGGTGTTCATTAAAAAATGGACACGTTTGGGCGTTTATACAAATGACACGCTTTGGCGCCCTTTTACATTTAGACATGTTTTGCAGTTCAGTGACGTCATGTGGACACGTTTGGGGGAATCAGACACGTTTGGGGGGAAGGACACGTTTCTGAGTGTTACACATATAATCCTGAAATGGTCTTTTATCTTACTTTTATGAGACAGTCCAGCCTTTTATTAAAAAATTTGATAATTTTTTATTTTAGCCCTGTTGGAAGCAGGCCACCCTCCCCAAAGAGTGATACTGAGGTGGAATGTCACAGACAGTCAAAAGGTTCATTCTTAACAGAGGAGGACACAACACTCTGGGAATGGGGAGATTTGCCTAGGAAGTCTGTGGCAGATGTGCCAACAACTGTTGGTGAGACAGAGTCCAGAGACCTTATCCTGGGTATGTATTAAGTAACTCAAACTCTAGGAGTGGAGGCTATATTGCAATCACTTGTCTCTTCATTTGTTAAACAAATATTTTGTCACACTTTTGTCAGAAACTACTTAAAAGAACAACTTCATATTTGGTCAGCAGACGGGCAGGACTGAGTTTGTAATGTGTATTTTCAGATATTCAAAGGGAAATAATCCATATAATATAAAAAAACTGTTACACAAGCTTAAATTCTTTTTTGATAGTCTTGGAAGAAGGAAAATTAAAAAAAGACATTGCAACGTGTAACCCGCAGTATAGCTCAATGAATTAGAGTATTGATAATAATACTGAGGTCCCCAGTCGATACCAGAAGATGAAGATGATATGATTTTCTAGTGCTTTATTTGTTCTTTTAAATGATAATTTATGATTGTAGACAATAAGCAGTCCTCATCAGGGTTGTTCCAGTTCATGAAAAGTACAAGAAATGTCCGGCATAAGCCTGAATTGGAGGGAATCTATCTTGATGATCTTAACTTAGATGAAATGAGTCCAGAAGTCGCAAAGTTATACTTCCCAAAAAGGTAAGCAATTGTAGATCTCAGGAATAATTTAGCTATCTTTGGTTTTGTTGAAAATTTATAAATTTTTACAACAAAATGTTCATATTTTGCTTTACATTTGACCAGCTTTACATTTGACCAGATAAGTGAATGCTCATCTTTTAATTCACTAAGTAACTAAGGCAGAAAAATATATGTATGTTTAGGTTTGTAGCTGAAATAGTATTGGGTTGGTAGGTCGTAAGTTTTTTTTTGGTCACATATTGGAAAATATTGTGACTTCACTTAGTGTTATTATAGTATCATACATTCTTTTGGGTTTTCTCAGAAGTTCAACAACTGTTTAAATGAACAAAGAGACAACGATGGACATGGTATTGTCAATTTTGTCTCATATTTCAATAGAATGAGTAAAAATTACAACAATTGATATGTTAGTTAAAAAATTCAGCCAAGGAAATCCTCATAAATATATTGGGAGTTGAAGATGAAAATGAGGGTCAGTTGAGAAACCCTAAACACACTTTTTCCGTCCCCTCTGCGATGTGTTGCGGGGAAATAGAAATAGCAGGCATCTCTCTGTCCATCCAGTCTTGTTAGTGCTCTCACATCTACAATTCTTGCAGATTTTTATACAACTTGTATCATGGGTTTATATTTGCAATGTCTTGGGCAAGTTCAAAAGTCAGTGTATCAAAGATCAAGTATTTTAAAAAGAGTTATGCTCCTTGCAAATATTTATATGGAAAATTTCATTGTTAGCACTCTCATGTGTACAATTTGTGCCAGATTTTTATAAAACTTATATCATAGGTTTATATCAATGATAATCAACAATGTCTCGGACAAGTTTGAAAATCAGTGCTGATCATTTATTTTTTTGAGTTATGCCCTTTGAAACATTAGTTATATGGATAATTGCATTGTAAGCACTCTCACATGTACAATTTTTGCCAGATTATTATCAAATTTACATCAAAGGTTTATATTACCAATGCCTCGGACATGTTAGAAAATTTGTGCCAATCAAATATTTTTAAAACAGTTATGCCCCTGGGAAATATTAATTATATTGGAAATTGCATTGTATTTGCTCTTAAACCTTTATTTCTCTGAGACATTTATAAAAGTTTTGAAAAACAAAAAGAAACTTTTTTTTAGTTATTGGCCTTGGATAGATAAAATACCTACAATGCGGGGGACAATGGAACACTGTTCTTTTATTGTGCCTTAAATCTTTATGAAATCAGCCATTTTTGTACCAAAACTTGAAACTTTGTTATTCATATTATAATTGTCAATGAACACTAGTGATATGAATAAAAATTTCACAAAAATCCAAGAGACATCTCAAGGTCAATATAGAGGTCAACATACGAGTATGCAACAGTAGACAAGTGTCTATATGATAAGTCAAGCTCTAAAATCGCTTTGTGTCTAGAATTTGTGAATGAATTTAACAGAGACTATTTAATTATTACTGAAAAATGAATGCAGGCCCTAAACATATGAATGATATAAAGCCTTGGATTGCCAGTACATTTTGTCTCCTGTATATAAATGAGTGTATAACTGATTTTGATATTACAATTAGAAAAAAATATGTAAAATGGAATGCATTTAAGTGTATGTTCTTAGCATGATTATTTCAAGCACAAGCTTACAGTTGAACTACTTTTTGCTTGTCACTTTGATTGTTTCTTAGCTGCTATAAATATTAATGTCTTGATTTCGTCTATAGAAGCTGCTCAGAGCAGTAAGTATTTGAAGAAGCCTTATTTTATCACGTAGCTTATTTTTTAATAGTATATGAAAGTGCAATTTAGTGATCTATTCAAATGTTAGCTTTAATAGCTTTTTTCACACACATGCTTTTTTTTGCTTATTTTCTTGAGGCAATATTATGTGCTTATTTTTATTTTACTATTTGAAGAATGTCATATATGTAAGTAGCTTGGAGAATTACCTCCCCTTCTAATACCACCAAACTTTCTGTTCATGTATAATAAACTGTGTGAGGTGCTACTATCTTAACTCTTGGTCTTAATGAATTTTCAGCAATATAACTGTATATAGCTTGTTTACTTACAAAAAACTACTTATATGAACACTATGGATTAATTATTATTTGTAGGATACCAATTTTGGTGAACCACGAATTTCAAAGTTCAACAAAGTACAAATTTTCTATTGGCTTGTATGCAGACTTTGGCGAAACCACGAAATCAAATATCCACGAAATTACAATTTATCCTCAAGCCATGAAAATTGTGTACCCAGGAAATTATTAACATCCACAGTATAGAAATATTCATTGAATAAACATTTTTGACCTGGTGTAATATTCCTGTAAATTTTGCTACAACTCAAGTGGATTTTGCCCATTCCACTAATCTAGATGGTCTCCTTTGTCCACCCTGTGGTGTTGATGTTATTTCCACTTGTCTAAATGGTCCCAATGTCAAACCTGTGGAGTGAGTAGACATTATTTCCACTTGTCTAGATAGTCCTATTTGTCAACCCTGTGGAATGGACATGTTATTTCCACTCATCTAGATGGTCCCCTCTGTCCACCCTGTGGAGTGGACATGTTTGTTTCACTCATCTAGATAGTCCCCACTGTCCACCCCATGAAGTGGACAGGCTATTTCCACTCATCTAAATGGTCCCCATGTCCACCCTGTGGAATAGACATTTTTTCCACTTGTCTAGATAGTCCCATATGTCCACCCTGTGGAGTGAACATGTTATTTCCTCTCATCTAGATGGCCCCCCTGTGTTCACCCAATAGAGTGAACATGTTATTTCCTCTCATCTAGATGGTCCTCTTTGTCCACCTTGTGAAGTGGACATGTTGTTTCCCCTGATCTAGATGGTCTTCTTTTCCACCCTTTGGAGTTAAAATGATATATTTTTTTTTTTCATCATAAGATAGAACATATAGTTTTTTTTTTCATCATAAGATAGAACATATAGTATTTTAGAAATACATGTTGTCCTGCGTTATAGTTTGACAACGTCTGTATCAAATGGATCTCCTCCACTGGTTCTTCAAAGTCATGGTTATAAACACACACGCCCAACCCCCTGAAATTTCTTTTATAAAATTCAGTATATATCTGTGCATATATATACTAATTTGTTCGAAAAATGAAAAAGCCAAGCCATAACTGAGGTAACAATTTTTATGCCCCCACCATAGAGGAGGGGGCATTAATATTTACCCTTGTACGTCAGTACGTCCAAAAGTTGGTTTCTGTTCTCTAACTTTAGTTTGCCTCAACCAAATGTTATGAAACTTATACACAATGCTTATTCAACAAAACACAGATCAAGTTTGAATTTTGGTGGCATCACTTTAACCGTTCTAGAGTTATGCCCTTTACAAATGGAAAAATTGCTGAATTTTTCGTTTCCTTTCTCTAACTTTAGTTTGCCTCAACCAAATGTTATGAAACTTATACACAATACTAATTACCACAGATCTCAGATCAAGTACAAATTTGGGTAGTGTCACTTTTACCGTTCTTCAGTTATGTCCCTTTATAATTTTATATGATATGCAAGTGGGGGCATCATCTGTGTCCCATATACACATTCCCCATTTATTTTAAGTTTTAAAAACATATTGATTGGAAATAGAAAAATATCTCCATAGGTTCAACTGTTGGTAGAATAGGTTAAGGGCCATTCCATTACAATGGATGTGGTTGGTTAGGAAGGGCTTTCAAAATTCCCCCAACAAGCACCATACCAAGCACCATACTTTTGTTAAGTAATTTTGCACACATCAAATGGACATAAAACTTTACTTGACCAATGGTCTAGGCCTAACAATAAAAATTCCTGGTCCAAAAAATTTAATTTAAATTGTGTGTGTTGCCTAACTACCCACCTAAAAAACAGCTTACTCAAAAAATTTAATGACACAAATCATTTCAATATTTTTTAAAAAGTTTTTTTCATGCTCTAACGTCGTTTTCTTATCTAAAACATGTAACTTATGTTGTTGGCAAAAAATAAAAATAAAATCTCTACTTACCTAACCCTATAAGGCATGGGTGTGCAACCTCAAAGTGGCCCTGTCCTACCCTCCTACACCCCTTTCAATAGAATACCCTATTGTTGCTGAGGATTCATTTTAGTGTTACTGAATATTTGTACATGCATGATCTATACATATATAACTTACATATATTCTAACCAATTACAAAAGTATTAATAAAATATTCAGTTTCTTTAATATTAGAAAATAGTACCTTTGTAGTAGCTAGTTTACAAACCTCTTCAAGGAGTATGTGATAACAACCAATCATTAATCATCCCGCTAGAAACAATCATTATATTTCTCATCGGTGTGTACACATGTTTTCATTAACCTGATCTTAATTATTTGGGACTTGTAAATTTTTTTTTTTTTTAATTTTTTTTTTATTAACCAGCACTTAAAGCATATACATGACATACATACAATATAATACATGTTAGATATACAATATATCATTATTATAATTGGAAATATTAGACATTTTCTATAGAACAGATCACAAGAAAAAAGTTCAAAAATATAAAAATAAATAAATAAGTAAATAATAATAATAAGTATCAGAAAGTATAGGAGTGGAAAATGAAGAAGACTAAAAAGAAAGAAAAAAGCAGAGAAAAGGAATTATCCAGTTACATCCCTATCTATATTTAAAATTTTTTTTTAAATGTAACATATTCATGATATTCATGATGAATGATATTTGAAAAATTAACCATACATATTTCTTATGTAACAGCCAGCAACACTGGTAAAGAACATTACATGAAAATAATATATTCTCTAAAATAAATTTTATCTCTTGTAAATGTTGCCTCAGTAGGAATTGTAGTATGAAATACAATTATAAATTCTACTGTACATAGAAGGGAGATTCAAAGCAGATATAAATCTCTCTTGCTGGTGTTGTGAATGATTCTTTTTGGTGGATTTGGAGTGACAACACACTTATTTACAATCATGTCATACATTACCTATGGAATACACATCAAATAACATGTACAGAGATATACATGAAATACAATGTACAGAGATATACATGAAATATAATGTGCAGAGAAATACATGAAATACAATGTACAGAGAAATACATGAAAATATATACAGAGAAATACAAGGTACAGAGAAATACATGAAATAAAATGTACAGAAAAATACATGAAATAAAATGTACAGAGAAATACATGAAATACCATGTACAGAGAAATACATGAAATAAAATGTACAGAAAAATACATGAAATAAAATGTACAGAGAAATACATGAAATACCATGTACAGAGAAATACATGAAATATAATGTACAGTGATGTACATGAAATACAATGTACATAGAAATACTGGAGTGATTCACCAGCCTTCCTAGTGAAAATTCACCACAGTAGTGATTTTTTACTGAGTCATCTTGTGTGTACTGTACATGCATTGAGATACAACAACATATGAAATATAATCTGTTGATTTGATTTTTGCCTACAGCAAGATACACTTTTTTACAGATATATTTTCTTCTTTAGAAACATAAAGTCATAAGACTTGCCAAGCAGTTTAAACAGTACCTTGTTAAGAAATATTGAAAATGGCCCAAACAGCAATCATCTGATTTAGTTTTCGCTTATTGTTTGCGTTGAAACTGAAACTGTCTGCCTGGTTTTATTTATGTCTTTATTGTCTTATTCCAGGTTTCACCAGACACAGTTCCAGTCGATCAGAGAACGAGAAGATGATGTCGAATCTGGTCGTGGTGCTTCACTTCCCGTCTCTCCTCACTCTGTAGAGGGCGCTGTATGTGGACCACCTGTGTCCTTTCTGAGGTCAGAGGTCAAATCCCTCGGTACCTATTCTATGTCCCTCTGTGGTGGTTTGTCAGAGGGTGTTACCTTGGAAAAGTTCATGCAGAAGATTGTGACCTTTGATGACCTTTGTGACAATTTTGGCATGATCAACAACCCAGACTTAGTCATTCGTATCGGGGAAAAGTAAGTCATGTTAAGATTTTTATTCTGCATTTAGCAATTCTATTACACACAAGCTATACTTCAGAAAATGCTAGTTTTTGATTCTACTAGAAATTCAAGGTGTAGTTTCAGTAGTCATGGTAGTATCTGTACCAGTCATAGTGATTACTGTAATGTTTTGGAGGTCAAAAGGTTAAATATTTAGAAGACAAGGAAAGGAGTAATGTAAGGTCATTAAGAGAATAAGCATACATGTATAAAGGTCATAAATATGATAATTATAAACATGAAATTTGGCAGAATTATTTATACTTTTTACTGTTTTAATGGGGGACGGCACATCCAGAAATATCTGCTGAATAAAACTGCATCACAAATGTGGGAAAGATATAATAAAAACTATGCTAATAGCAATATTTGTTTAGAAATGCAAGATATCCTCAATATAACCACCTTTTTCAATATAAATTAAAATAATCACCAACTAAGTTTGACCATTGAATGTTTTTGCAGGTACTATAACTGGCTGACAGCAGCACCTATGATGCTTACTCATCTGGTATTTGAAAGGAATCTTTCACAGGTATGTGTTTACTCTTTTGCAAGAAATATAAACACATGAGGTCAAAATAAGAATTAGTATATAAATATACAAATAAGAGTATTAGGTATGAATTAAGTCACTACCACCAGATACCCTACTACAATTTATTTTTATTCTTCCTTTGGCTGGAATCAAATGAGCTTTGGTTTTTATGCCACTGGAAGGGGCATTAAGTGTAAACCTTGTCCGTTTGTACTTCCCGAAATTTGTTTCCGTTCTTTAACTTTAGTTTGCCTCAATCAAATGTTAAGAAACTTATACACAATGCTTATTACCACAAAAACTGCCTCGGTGGTCTTGTGGTAGCATGTTCGTCTTTTGTGCGGGAGGTCGTGAGTTCGAACCCTGGCCGGGTCAAACCAAAGACTTTAAAATTGGTATTTGCTGCTTCTCCGCATATATAAGGATATATAAGCACGACGCATTAAGGAGTAAGAGCAAAGACTGGTCGGCTTGGAGTCAGAATAATGTATCCAGGTAAGGTGACATGTCTTCCATGGGACTGTTACCTTGTGAACTAGAACGTTAAAAATCTAGTTCAGCATGTCGGTCTAGTACAAAGCAGGGTAAATATTCATATAACATTAACATGTTCTCGTCCTGAATATGCATATCAATTTGCCGCTGGATGTTAAAGCCATCATCCATCATCTTTTTACCACAAAACACAGATCAAGTTCTAATTTGGGTGACGTCACTTTTTACGGTTCTCGAGTTAAGCCCCTTTATAACGTTATATGCAAGTAGTGGCATCATCTGTGTCCTATGGACACATTCTCCATTTATTTATTAATAGTATATGTCATGCGTTAATTTGAAATGCCTTTTCTAAACATTTTATTCAAGATTTTTGGTCGTGTTTGACAAAGTGATAAACCAGCTTTTAGTATGGTTGTTTGTGAAAAGTGGGTACCTGTTTTGTATAATTTTTCTCCTACAGTTTTCAACCCAGACCCTTTAACTTCACAGATAGCTTGCACACATATTGAAGTTGTGCTATTGTACATTGTTTTGGGAATTACCTCCCATTTTTCAGACTTTTTCAGCAAAATTTTTCAAAATGAGTACTAATGTGTAATCACTGCCTCCTGTTGTTTAACCCAGACCCTTGATACTACACAGAATGTTCCATAAATTGAAATGTTTATTTTTCTCCATTGTTTAAGAACCTTGTAAGCAGCTCGAAACATGGAGTCTATATTTTCAGTATTTTTTTTTTTTTATCATCCTGAACATGCATGAGATATTTGCCACTGGACGTTAAGCAACCAACAATCAATCAGTAATCATTTTTGATACATTCTTTTGATACATTACAGACCTCTATGAACAAATTAATAGATGAACATATGCCAAAGAAGAAAGAAAAGAGAACTAGTGGTGTGTCGTCGTGGTTTTCATGGGGGAGGTCATCCAAGGTCATAGATCAGTCACAGTCTCAGGACAAACAGGCTGTGCAGACATCTATGTCTGATTCAGAGATAGGAACAGGAAAAACGGTAAGTTCTGTAGATAGCTGTGATTTCATAAATTTTTTGCAGTGTTCTTATTATTGTGAAAAATTGTGACATGATAGGTTTCGCCAAAAATAAAACAAACTAATATTTTATATCTGATAGCATAATTTATAAAAAGCATTTCAATAGTTATTCTGGCATTTTTGTTAATTGTTCAACAATCGTTATAATAAATGCATGCAAAAATTTGTGAATTTACAATATGATAAGATCGAGAGCTGAAGGAGCAGGTAACCAGTCCCAGAAAGAAATTATTACTCTTAGGCGAGACCAAATTAGTTTTGTGTTCTTCAGAATATCTCGCTGCTATATATTTTCTGGATTGATAGTGAAAAAAAATGATACAAATTTTATATGACATCTTTTTTCCTTTAATTTCATACCTTTTAACTATCATATAAATTGAAACCATAATTTTCAAATGAAAGAGTCAAAAAGTCTTAGAAATTAATAGAAACATTTGTTTTCTCATCATATTATCTGTTCCTTGTCTTGTTAGTTATTTGTTCATTCAGAATAAACCAAATACTACTGTAAATTCAGAAATTATTCTGTAAATTCAGAAATTATTGTGTGTATGTATTATTGCGATTTTTCAAGAATGGACAAAAATGTGAGATTAATTATTGCGATATCATTAAAATCTGCATACAGATATATGTAACAGACATTGGAATGCGAGTTCTTATTATTGCGATAGTCACCCAGTTCCATTATTCGCATCAACAAAAACCTGGCAATAATTTCTAAATTTACAGTAAATAAATTTTGTTTGCCTTTTCATTAACATTTTAAAGACATTGGTTGTTACTGACATGCAGTTTTTACTTCAGTAAATTCAATAAAGGTCAGAGTCACTTTACTACTTTTAATTACCTTGACTTCCCATGAGGGTCTCACACAGATGGTATTCACTTTGAATATTTATTATTATATTTATTAACATATAGATATAACCTATAAAGAAGATTAAATAACATAGAAGTCTCTACATCAAATTGCTATGTAAAAGATTTTCCCGTTAAATTGGGATTTCTGTATTTTGAAGAAAATATATCAGACATTAAAAATATCAATGCACTGTAGTTAACATTCCTGCTTATATTCATTACAGGAAAAATTCAAAAACATTTTGAAATCGTGTATTTATGTCGGCCCATAGGCATTAAGTGTTACCCTTGACCTTCCGTCTTACTGTCTTTCCGTCCATCCCAGTTTGAAGCTTGTGAGGGTGTATTTGTGTCCTCAGACACATTCTGCTTTTATTTTTTAAACAATGGCTAAATATTATTGTTTTCAGACTGATGAAAATTCAACATTGAGTCCCCCGACCAGCCTGCCTGCAAGTGTATCCGGTAGTCCAAGGAAAGTCAGAAAAAATACTGATAACAGGTTTGTTTTATAGTTCTTAAGGCATCTGTTCCATAGTATACTAAACAATTTTATAAGTACCATGATTTAAGCACAAAAGTTAATGTATGACTGTATTGAACATAACCTCTATTTGGTGAACTTAAAAGAACAGTTTTTGAAAGTTTGATTTAAGAATTGAATGCTTTTTTTTTAATTGTGGTGTTAAAGTGCAGAATATTTGTTTGAAGAGTGATAGCATAGAGCTTTATACTAAAAATGTATGCATGGTCAATACCCTAAAAACCGTATAAAACTACCTTAAAAAGAAGCTTTCATTTCTTATTATTATATTTTTATGCTAAAATCCAGAAATTATGAATTAAATCAATCCTTTTACTTTGTTTTAAATATTACTACACATTTATGAAATGTCTTGAATAATCGTCTGTCCCATAACAGTTTGGTTGCATTTTTCTGCAGACTACAAATTTGAGCTTCCTGAAATTTGGTATCAAGCTACGTGTGAAGATGCTTTACTTTGGGATGCACTTTCAGAATCATTATTTATCAACTCAATGGGTGCCACATGTGGAGCAGGATCTGCTTACCTTTCTGGATCACCTGTGATCACCCCCAGTTTTTGGTGGGGTTCGTGTTGCTCAGTCTTTGGTTTTCTTTGTTGTTTTGTTTGTGTACTGTTGTATTGTCTGTTTGTCTTTTTCTTTTTAGCCATGACGTTGTCAGTTTATTTTCGAGTTTGAATGTCCCTTTGGTATCCCTTACTGATTATTTATATGTATTTTTACACATTATGACCATGTATATAATTTTCCAGTCTGGCTGATGATGATCATACCTCCAGTGAAGCTGATACAGATTCAGATAGGAATGAGGCTCACAAAAGGGTCACTTCAGAGAAGTACAAAAAGACAATCAGATTGGACTCGGATTCTATCGTAAGTGCTCCTTAAACTTAAACCCCAAAAAAGATTACATATAGACAAGACATATATCTCTGTTTCAACAGTTTATGTTTTAAGTATGAACCCTGCTCCTTTTTATCTCAATATGTGAAATAAGAAAAGATGTAAAGAAAATGTAATGTAAAAATATCAGTTACAAAAATAACACTAAAGTCCTAATATGCCTGTTGTACTTTCATGCATGAAAAAAAACAACTTTTTTTCCCCTGTTCTATTTTATAGAAATATTACAATTGCATTTACATGATTTTTTTTTTAATTGAGCAAACAAATGTCAAATATTATCCCCTGATATTTAATGAATATTCTCTGGTACTATACAAATTGTTTGACAAAAAGATTGTATCTGTGTTTACAGAAAAAGCTGAATTTACAACCTGGTTGTAATGAGATTGTTTACTCTGTTACAACACAGTTCCAGGGGACAAAGAAATGTACAAGTCATATCTACCTGTGGAGATATGACGACAAAATCATTGTCTCTGATATTGATGGAACAATTACCAAGTAAGTAAAAGTAGACATACTGTTCTTTCATTAATTTTGTTTTTACCAATTTTTCATGGATTGAGGAATTGTTGATACATGGATACTGTGGATTCATTTATTTTCATGGATACCAACTTTCGTGGATTGAATTAAAATTAATTTTGTTGATATATCATTTTGTGGCTTTGCCAAATTCTGAATATGATCCAATAGAAAATATGTATTTTGTTGAAAATTTAAATTATGGTTTATCTTTATGTATACCCATGAAATTCACAAAGATTTGTTTTCCACAAACACTAATAAATCCACCAAGGGTCCGGAAACGGTCATATATGCCAGACATGACCGATTTGGAAACTGAAAAGACCGAAATGATTTATTGGGATTTTGGTCTTTTTTTTTTTTTTTACAGAAATAATTTCGGTCATTTCATTGAGATCAGGGTTTTATCGGTCGCCATTTTGAACTTATTTTTGTTTTCAGGTCATCAAGAAAAATAGATTTGTTTGAGACAAAATAAAAATTTTATTGATTTGTGTTAATGATTTAATAATATTTATCATTAGTCTGTTGTTTATTCTATTAATGTAAGTGAAAACAATGTACAGGACTCTGTCGAGTCACAGCGTGGGGTAAGTCTGGGTTCAAGCCACTAGGTTTGTTTACATAGTAATTATCACCACTTGAGGATAGTAATCAATGTCCAGGAAGTTTGAATTCGGCTTGGGTGTCGTTATTGTCTTGATTAAAGCCATAAAGGCCATGTACACAAATCTCACCTGTAAACACCTGTTAACACTGTGTATCATCGCCACCGGAAATTGGGTACTAACGAAGCGGAGAGAAATGGAAAAAAAAAGTAAACAAGGTAAGAATTCATTCAATTTAAAGCATTTATACTGATTTGACGAGGGTACCGCTTAAGAAATGATTTTCTGGTATATAATTCTTTAAATTATTAGGCCGATAAGTACAAAATTAAGACAAGATTTTGTGTTATACTCAAGAACTTGCCACTTAGTACCTGAAAATTTCGAGGTCGATCGTCCTCTGTCGCCCTATTGGCAAGATATTCAACTGTTTTTCATTATTTTTCCAGACACTTTTTTAGATTATTATAGTGTGGCATCATCTTTACTGAAATTTGTTGTCAAAATGAACGTTTTTAAAGAATATAGACCATAAAAAATAAAGTCTAGGGTACGGCAACTTGCTCATGTTGACAAATTTACTGTATGGCAACTTGTTTTCAACTGTATGGCAACTTGCTAATTTCAAAATATTTATTTGCAGTCTTTTTAAAGAAAATAAAGTATTAGGTTCAAATATCTTATTATGCATTTGATAAAAATACAATTCGCTTGACACCATTTAAGATGTATACACAATATAAGGCTTGAACACAGTCCAATTACATCTTTTACATACCTGATGTATACAATATGAATACGGCATATACAAAAGCTGGCAAATGTTGTAACTTTCGGAAAGGCATGTCACTGTTTTACTGACCTGTTGTTCTGCCCTGACGTAGCGTTAAATGTTACCCATGTCCGTCCGACCCGTCTCTCCCGTCCGTCCAGAAAGTCCCAATAATTGGTTTCTGTTCTCTAACTTTAGTATGCCTTAACCAAATGTTTTAAAACCGTTTTCACGAAATTCTTATCACCACAAAACACAGATCAAGTTATAAATTGGGTAGCGTCACTGTTACCATTCTTGAGTTATGTCCTTTTATAAATTAAAAAAAAGCTAAAGCTGTCGTTTCTGTCCTCAAACTTTAGATTGCCTCAACCAAATGTTTTAACCATACAACATTAGTAAGCATTTGCATATAAGCGATGAACATTTCGGGGATGGGTTGTGGGTGGAGGGAAGGAAGGAGGTAATGACAGAAAAATTTTTCCGCATTGAATATTTAGAACCATTAAGTGAATGAATTCTCTTTCAACTTTCAGATAAAATGAAATATAAATGAATTATCATTCTCTGCAAAAAAAAGTTGTATTACTACACCACGGCACCATGTTAAGGGATGTTTGAGTGCTCACAAACATGTTTAAGCCCGCCTCCATATATATATGTGTCTGTCCCTGGTCAGGAACATGTAATATAGCGGCTGTCGTAAGTTGCTGCCTGACATATTTGTTTATGATTTTGTCATTAATCAGGCAATTTTGATACGGTATGGGTTTTGTTCATTGTGAAGTGTATAGTTACCAATAGTTGGTCAAATCTATTTCATTTGGACTTTGTTTGAAAGTCCTCTCAGTGAAAACCATTCCACGTCTCTTTTTTCAATTAATGTTATTGTCTTATTTGTAAAAGGCAGATACAGCCAATATATATGAATAAAGAACGTTAATTTTCTAAAAAAAAACTTCATCTCTATATAGTAAGAAATGAACAAGCTCGGTGGCTAACACTGTTTAAATTTAAAAAAAATATTAACCATAGATTAATAATTTTTGGAAAGAATGAAAGAAGAATCCGATACAAGGGATACAAATCCGGCTGTGGCTATGGCATAAACTATTTATATAAACTTTCTACTTGAGAATAAAGATGACCTTGTATGAAGTTTTTTTTTGGTTGTCATCTAAATATTATATACTTATTAATACAATTCACAAAAGCTAGCATCTTCGACTTGTAAGTTTAAAGAATTATAATGAAATAACATCTAATAAGGACAGGTTGAAATATTTTTGAATCCTGATGGTGCATACTCATAAATTCTTTTCGAAAAATCCACGTAAATTTAAATGTTGATTTGATAGCGTTCATTTATTTATTTGCCCTCGTAAACAGTTTTGTTAAAATACCGAAATCGGTAAATTCTTATCGTGATCGAATAAGTCGGGTACACCTTTTTACACTCAGACGTGCTTAAGTTGCACTTTTTTCTTCGTATTAAGAAAAATGATTTTAATTTTAGCATCTATCTAAAGATTAGATTATTTACACACACACACAAAAATAGGGCTTACTGTTGATTTTGAAACTCTATGAATTCACATTTATATTCAAACAAACAGATAGGCCGAGATCCATACCTTTATAAGTTTCAAAACAGAGAAGGTGTGTTTGAAAACAAATAATCACGTACTGCTATATCTTTTAAGGCAAATGCAAGTCTTACTTGTATTAATTATATAATTTTAATTGGCACAATATCACATTAAAATTTACTGAGAAATATTATACATAGTAATCATGAATATGTACTATACTGTAACAATGAAAATTCGGACGAATACACTCCTTTTCACTACCCCTCCATCTACTCATTTAACGGTTTAGGCCAAACAGCCTTAGAAACAGTCTTTTATTATTTTTTCCCTGTAAATAAAAAGATTGATTGAATTTACTTAAACTAAAAAAAAAATACAATCTTATTTTCAATAAGAAACAAGAAAATTAATTCGAAACACAATTCATGATTTATTTCTCCTAATTTTCAATGAATAAAAGGAATTTTCTTCGCTTTTCTTTTAACAAATTATTCATTTCTGAAATTTAAAAAATAAACAATAAACAATGTTGAAGACCGTACCTTGACCTATAATGGTTTACTTTTATAAATTGTGACTTGGATGGAGAGTTGTCTCATTGGCACTCATACCACATCTTCCTATATCTATTTAACCCAGCACATTCTTTATGTGTCTGTCCGAAGCCACGAGGCTGTAGTTTGGTGGTTGTCGTTGGTTCATCTCTATCATATTTGTTATTTTTCATTAATTGTTTTGTTATGAGTTAGGCCGTTAGTTTTCTTGTTGAATCCTTCCACAATTTTCATGTCGGGGCTTTTTATAGCCGACTGTAAGGTACGATTTTTCGTTGTTGAAGGCCAAACGATAGCATATAATTGCTTACATACACTTTATTTGACCCTGGTGGATAGTTATCTTATTTGCAATCATACAACATCTCCACTGTTTATATTTAAAAAAAAATAAACAGCGCCAACAAAAGATGAATGGTCGGTTTTTTTTTTATTGAACTTACCTGAGAATTTCACTCTGACAACAAATAAGACAACAGTCGTTAGTATTATAACGATATATGAACGTATTTAGATAATATGGTTTAAAAAAAACTTTTTGTCTTTAAAAACACAAAGTCGAATAGAGGTACTCAACGACGACTTCTGAACGAAATTAACGGCATATATTTTATAATATTTGATAAGTAGTTTATTTTGTATATTTGTAAGCCGGTAAAGCTTTGATACAGCCAAAATTTCGTCACTTGATATTATCTAAACAGTGATTAATTTCATCTTTAAATTACAATATATTGCAAGACGCCGTACAGACAAAAGTTGTTATTTTGCAATTCGCCGTACAACGTCCTGCAATTCGCCGTACAATAAACAAACAATGTTTTGGTCCATATTCTTTAAAAACATCTTTATGACAACAGATTTCAGTCAATATGATGTCACACTATCATAATCTAAAAACGTGTCTGGAAAAATAATGAAAAACAGTTGAATATCTTGCCAATGGGGCGACAGAGGACAATCGACCTCGAAATTTTCAGGTACTAAGTGGCAAGATTTGGAGTATAACACAAAATATTGTCTTAATTTTGTACTTATCGGCCTAATAATTTAAAGAATTATATATCAGAAAATCATTTCTTAAGCGGTACCCTCGTCAAATCAGTAGAAATGCTTTAAATTGAATGAATTCTTACCTTGTTTACTTTTTTTTCCATTTCTCTCCGCTTCGTTAGTACCCAATTTCCGGTGGCGATGATACACAGTGGTTAAGCAATAAAAACAATATGGCGATTTGCTGTGCATCAAATTTAACGTTTTAACCATTCTGACCTAGATTTTCCCAAACAGATATTATTTTATTCATTAAAGAAGACAAATAACACTGTTGACTCGAGAATCTGTCAATTTTTATCCAAATAAAACATATAATCCATTTATAATCGATCAGCTGATTTGGTCAACGTTTGTTAAATATAGATTTATGTTTACTGAGTTTGCGCATGGAAAATGGGGATCAACATGGGTTAATTGATAATCTTATTTAACTTTTCGGTAGGAAATGGCAGATAAAGATATTAATAGATTTGCAAAAGTGGTAAAGCCTATAATTTATAGGAATGCAGAATTAAAAAAAAAATGTTTAAAAAAGGAATTAAAACTAAATAACGTAATTTAGATTTGAAGCCATACAGCCTATTTAAGAAATATACTCAGCGAATGAACAATCTCGATTTTTTTTTGTTTTTTTTGCACTTCCGATTTTTTGAAACCATCTTACTCACAGAATGTAATGGGCGTTATCCTTTCTTTTGTTTTCCTGGCTATACTTCCGATTTTTACCCAAGTGAAGCCATACATTCTCTCTGTAAAGACCAACAGAATTCATGGGCGTTTTTCTTTAATTGTTTCAAGGTTATTTTTGCTGGTATAAAAGCTTTGAATATTAAATATAAATTCATAATAAGTTCCAACAATGAATAAGCGTAAAAGAGAGTCGTCAGATGAAAACCAGAAACCTGCCAAAAATGCCAGATCTTTCAATGCCAAATGGTTGCAGTTGTTCGCATGGCTTACCTTTGACAGTATACGTAATGCCATGTTCTGCACCATCTGCCAGAAACACAAAAAGAAAAACAATTTTTGTATATCCCGGGGCCTGCAACTTTCAGATGCGCATAGGATTAGTTGGTGTTTCTGTCAAAGACTTTGACCCAAAACCGGCACTCCGTCAGTGGCAGTCTAACCGTCAAAGACAAGTGTACCAAAACAACAAACAGAATGCTTTCTCTAAGCTTATGAACATTAGATAGACTTATATTGACTCTGTGTATTTGTGTTACCATTGATAGACTGCTATGTGTATTGAATATTTATAGACTGTCATTCCTAGAGTATTACAATGCAATTGTTTTTCATTGAATTGTTGTAATTGTGTACAAACTTCTGTTCAGATAAATTATTTATTTATTTAAAATCATGAATTTTATTATTAAATTCAATTGTTATCACTATACCAGACTTGAGTTATTTATTCAAAGAAAAGTTGAATCATAGTTTCCCCTTTTTGATCCTCATATCGTAAACCAGGTGAATACACATTATCTTATTGTGTATTAGGTAATCACTTACACTCATCCAAACAGCAGCAATTTGAACAATACAAACGATATCTTGTACATGCAATAAGAAACTCAACACAGTTTATTAATTGGTTTACATAACTTTATTTCAAAATGATGAAACATGCCGTAATTATTCCTCTTTTAATTTATGCAAATTTAAAGGGTTATGCATACGACCTCAGTGATGCAATACACAACAACAAAACGTCTCCTCGTGTAGTTTCTAACTCAGAGATATCACTGTTACTGTTAGATCAAGGTACAGTTACACTTGTTTGACCCAATACTTCACAAAAAAGGACTTTACTTGTCCATGTGCAAGACTTGTCACCCTCAGAAAAATGCATTATTGTGCATCACGATATTATTACATCACAAAAAAAAATGACCGAAATGACATGGGAAAATTTCCGGATCCTTGAAATCCACAGTACTTGATTTCAAGGTTTTTCCAACGTTTGCATACAAGCTTATAGAAAATATTTACCTATGTTTACCTGTACCAACGAAATCAGCGAAATTTGGTACGCTAAGAAAATGTATATAACCTACCACACAATCCTAATAACGATATATATCCACTCAAGATAGACTTTCAAACTATAAAATAACAAATTTGCTATCGACAGTGGATAAATATTGGACTGATGGGATTAAGTGGTAGAAACTGTTTCACCAATGATTCAATGGATAATGCTGATTTGCAAAGGACCCAGAAGTTATCTCTAGGTCAAACAGGTCAAAATGCACGCAGAACTAGAGGAAACATAATATGACAGACTATGCTTTTTTTTTTCTTTTCACAGATCAGATGTATTAGGACAAATTCTGCCTATTATTGGCAAAGATTGGTCACAGTCTGGTGTAGCTCAGCTGTATACCTCCATCAACACAAACGGTTACAAGTTTCTCTACCTGTCTGCTCGTGCTATAGGACAATCAAAAGTTACCAAAGATCTACTGAAAAGTATTAAACAGGAAGTGCATGTCCTTCCGGAGGGTCCTCTTCTATTGTCACCAACATCTCTAGTCAGTGCTTTCCACAGGTAAGGAGGGATAATCTCAAAATGTTCAAAATTATTTTGCAAGAGATCTAGATATAAAAAGTAATATAACAAAAATACCGAACTCCAAGGGAAATCCAAAAATGAAAAGTCCTGTATAAAATGGCAAAATCAAAAGCTCAAACACATCAAATGAATCGAAAACAACTGTCATATTCCTGACTTGGTACAGGCATTTTCTTATGTAGAAAATGGTGGATTAAACCTGGTTTTATAGATAGCTAAACCTGTCACTTGTATGACAGTCACATTAAATTTCATTATATTGACAACAATGTGTGAGCAAAACAAACAGAAGTAATAGGTAAAAATGTTAAAAATTGGGGTACATCAGTCAAATTGTAATATAATCTTAATCACAATAAAAACAAATAACTATTTCAAGAAAGAAAAAGATCCGTTTTCACTCTCATCGGCATCTCTTGTCATCAGATTACTGTAAATTCAGAAATTTTGCAATGTTTTTATCATTTGAAAGCTTTACTTGTACTCAGCATTTCATGAAATTACAATAATTACTTTCTATTTTGTCCAATATGCAACAATAGCAATAATAGATGTATGCATAAATTTGTGAATTTACAGTACTAATTATTTAAAAAAAAAAGTTTTTAACTGAACCATTTCCTTTTTAGCTCACCTGGCCCAAAGGGCCAAGTGAGCTTTTCTCATCACTTGGCGTCAGTCGTCCGTCGTCCGTCGTCCGTCGTCCGTAAACTTTTACAAAAATCTTCTCCTCTGAAACTACTGGGCCAAATTTAACCAAACTTGGCCAATATCATCATTAGGGTATCTAGTTTAAAAAATGTGTCCGGTGACCTGGCCAACTAACCAAGATGGAGGCCATGGCTAAAAATAGAACATAGGGATAAAATGTAGATTTTGGCTTATATCTCTGAAACCAAAGCATTGAGAGCAAATCTGACAAAGGGTAAAAATGTTTCTTAGCTCAAGATCTATCTGCCCTGAAATTTTCAGATGAATCCGACAACCCGTTGTTAGGTTGCTGCCCCTGAATTAGTAATTTGAAGGAAATTTTGCCTTATTTGGTTATTATCTTGAATATTATTATAGATAGAGATAAACTGTAAACAGCAATAATGTTCAGCAAAGTAAGTTCTACAAATAAGTCAACATGACCAAAATGGTCAGTTGACCCCTTAAGGAGTTATTGCTCTTTTATAGTCAATTTTTAACAATTTTTCGTAAATTTTTGTTATCTTTTACAAAAATCTTCTCCTCTGAAACTACTAAGATGAATTTAACTAAAGTTGTAAACAATCAACATTAGGGTATGTAGTTTAAAAATTGTGTTTGATGACCCCGCCCTCAAACCAAGATGGCCGACATGGCTAATAATAGTACATAGGGTAAAATGCAGTTTTTGGCTCATATATCTAAACCCAAAGCATTTCTAGCAAATCTTTCAAAAACAAAATTGTTCATTAGGTCAAGATCTATCTGCCCTTAAATTTTCAGACCATTCAGGCAACTCGTTGTTGGGTTGCTGCCCCTGAATTGGTAATTTTTAGAAATTTTTTCAGCTTTTGGTTATTATCTTGAATATTATTATAGATAGAGATAAACTGTAAAGAGCAATAATGTACAGCAAAGTAAGACCTACAAATAAGTCACATGACCAAAATGGTCAATTGACCCCTTAAGGAGTTATTGCCCTTTATAATAAATTTTTAACAATTTTCATAAATTTTGTAAATTTTTACAAAATAATTTCCACTGAAACTACAGGGCCAAGTTCATTATAGATAGAGATAATTGTAAGCATCAAGAATGTTCAGTAAAGTAAGATCTACAAACACATCACCATCACCAAAACACAATGTTGTCATGAATCCACCTGTGTCCTTTGTTTAATATGCACATAGACCAAGGTGAGCGACACAGGCTCTTTAGAGCCTCTAGTTTATTATATGACCGCAAAAATTTTTTGCAGTCGTATATTGGTATGACGTTGGCGTCGTCGTCGTCGTCATTGTCGTCGTCGTCCGGTGTCATCCGAAGACACATTGGTTTTCGCACTCTAACTTTAGTTTAAGTGAATGGATCTCTATGAAATTTTACCATAAGGTTCAATACCACAAAAGGAAGGTTGGGATTGATTTTGGGGGTTATGGTACCAACAGTTAAGGAATTAGGGGCCAAAAAGGGGCCAAAAATAAGCATTTTTGTAACTTCCAGACATAACTTGTGTGTTAGTGTATGGATCTCTCTGACATTGTACCACAAGATTCCATATCACAGAGGGAATGCTGGGATTGATTTTGGGGGGTAATTGCCTCAAAATATTAGGAATTAGGGGCCAAAAAAGGGGCAAAAAACAAGCATTTTTTCTAGTTTCATGACAATAACTTGTGTGTAAGTGTATGGATCTTTCTGAAATTGTACTACAAGGTTCCATATCACAAAGGGAAAGCTGGAATTCAGTTTGGGGGTAATTGCCCAAAACGTTTAGGAATAAGGGGCCAAAAAGGGGCCAAAAATAAGCATTTTTCTAGTTTCCAGACCATAACTTGTGTTCAAGTGTATCGATCTCTCTGAAATTGTACCACAAGGTTCCATATCACACAGGGAATGCTGGGATTGATTTTGGGGGTAATTGCCTCAAAATATTAGGAATTAGGGGCCAAAAAAGGGGCAAAAAACAAGCATTTTTCTAGTTTCATGATAATAACTTGTGTGTAAGTGTATGGATCTTTCTGAAATTGTACTACAAGGTTCCATATCACAAAGGGAAAGCTGGAATTGAGTTTGGGGGTAATTGCCCAAAACGTTTAGGAATAAGGGGCCAAAAAGGGGCAAAAAATAAGCATTTTTCTAGTTTCCAGACAATAACTTGTGTTCAAGTGTATGGATCTCACTGAAATTGTACTGCAAGGTACCATACCACAAAGGGAAGGCTGGGATTGAGTTTGGGGTGATGAATCACAAGGGGGTTCAAAAAATTTGGGGGGGGATTTTTTTTTTTTTCCTTTTTTTTTTCTTTTAAAATTTTCCATTTTAAGTTGGTTATTTCTGTTAAAAGCAAAAAATAATGATATGGTAGTCGTCCGAAGACACATTGGTTTTCGCACTCTAACTTTAGTTAAAGTGAATGGATCTCCATGAAATTTAACCATAAGGTTCAATACCACGAAAGGAAGGCTGGGATTGATTTTGGGGGTTATGGTACCAACAGTTAAGGAATAAGGGGCCAAAAATAAGCATTTTTGTAACTTCCAGACAATAACTTGTGTGTAAGTGTATGGATCTCTCTGACATTGTACCACAAGGTTCCATTTCACAAAGGGAAGGCTGTAATTCATTTTGGGGGTAATTGCCTCAAAATTTTAGGAATTAGGGGCCAAAAAAGGGGCAAAAAACAAGCATTTTTCTAGTTTCATGACAATAACTTGTGTGTAAGTGTATGGATATTTCTGAAATTGTACTACAAGGTTCCATATCACAAAGGGAAAGCTGGAATTGAGTTTGGGGGTAATTGCCCGAAACGTTTAGGAATTGGGGGCCAAAAAGGGGCCAAAAAACACATTTTTCTAGTTTCCAGACAATAACTTGTGTTCAAGTGTATGGATCTCACTGAAATTGTACTGCAAGGTACCATACCACAAAGGGAAGGCTGGGATTGAGTTTTGGGGTGATGAATCATAAGGGGGTTCAACAAATTTGGGGGGGGGGGGATTTTTTTTTTCTTTTTTTCCTTTTTTTTTCTTTTAAAATTTTCCATTTTAAGTTGGTTATTTCTGATTAATATTTAAAAGCAAATAATAATGATATGGTAGGAGATACACACCAAACAGGATGTGTAAATTATTATATAATAAGTATTGTGCAATAGCAAGAAATTTTCAATTGCACAGTATTGCACAATAGCAAGAAATCTTCAATTGCACAGTATTGCGCAATAGCAAGAAATCTTCAATTGCACAGTATTGTGCAATAGCAAGAAATATCCAATAGCACAATATTGCGCAATAGCAAGAAATTGTCAACTGTACAGTATTGCGCAATAGCAAGAAATTTTCAATTGCACAGTATTGTGCAAAAGAAGATACTTTGTATAAATTGCTTATTTCTTGACTAATTTCAATGGGGTTTTATTCTTGAATTCTTGGGGTTCTTTAATATGCTGATTCTAACCGTGTATTAATTTTTTGGATTTTGGGCCCCGTTTTTAAATTGGTCCACATTGAGGTCTAAAGGGTCCAAAATTAAACTTTGTTTGATTTCATCAAAATTTGAATTATTAGGGTTCTTTGATATGCCGAATCTAACCGTGTATTTAGATTCTTAATTTTTGGTTCCGTTTTCAAATTGGTCTACATAAGGTCCAAAGGGTCCAAAATTAAACTTAGTTTGATTTTAACAAAAATTGAATTCTTAGGGTTCTTTGATATGCTGAATCTAAACATGTATTTAGATTTTTGATTTTGGGCCCAGTTTTCAAGTTTGTCCAAATCGGGGTCCAAAATTAAACTTTGTTTGATTTCAACAAAAATTGAATATATGGGGTTCTTTGATATGCTGAATCTAACCAAGTATTTAGATTTTTGATTTTTGGGCCCCATTATCAACTTTGTCCACATTGAGGTCAAAAGGGTCCAAAATTAAACTTTGTTTGATTTCATCAAAAATTGAATTTTTGGGGTTCTTTGATATGCTGAATCTAACCATGTATTTAGATTTTTGATATTGGACCATAATAGGTGAATGTCCAATTTAAAATTTTTAAGTTCTTAGACCACATTCATTCTGTGTCAGAAACCTATGCTGTGTCAAATATTTAATCACAATCCAAATTCAGAGCTGTATCAAGCTTGAATGTTGTGTCCATACTTGCCCCAACTGTTCAGGGTTCGACCTCTGCGGTCATATCAAGCTGCGCCCTGCGGAGCATTTTATTTTTTCAATAGTTGTTGCAAAATGATACATTTTGTTTTCCATTCCTCATTGAAATGGTTGTTGGTTGTAGAGATATACTTCTGTATGGAATCAAGGAGATATTTCCTTACTAGAGGTCAAGTATATATTTGTTATTACAACTAATGAATATTCTTTCAGAGAAGTGATTGAGAAGAAGCCAGAGGAGTTCAAAATAGCCTGTCTGAAGGATATTGGTAGCTTGTTTCCTCCCTTTACTCAAGCTTTCTATGCAGGATTTGGCAACAAAGTTAATGTAAGTTATAGTAGTTTTACCTTGAATGGATTTTATTCTAAAGGTCAATGACTATATATTTATAATTAGTAGTCTATATGAGAATCATGCAACATTCATATTTTATAGGCTACAAATAATTACTTTTGTCACTCTCTTGCAATAAGGGTGTAGATGAAAGGAATAAGTAATATTTTCCAGTTACTGTCTTGCCAGGACAGATATTTATTTGATGTACATTTTACATAATATTCTATAGTATAATTCAGAGTTATCTCCCTTAACATGAGTTTTATAATGCATTCTATAGAATTTATATATCTCATTAGAAAAGAGTCCATATAAAAAAAAGTTATATTAAAAAAATGTTGTGTAGACCTTACCAATGAATAATATTTTGCATGATTTTGATATGTACTGGTACAAGAATAATGCTGAAATTGTGATGTAAAAACCAATCATTCTCATATTTCATATTTGACAGTCTCAGCTCTTGCATAAAATGACTAGACCAATCAGTATTAGTATATAAAACTAATGTTTCATTTTGCAACACTATTACTTAACTGATCTATATTAATTTTAATTAACAGTTTTCATACAAACATCTTTCAACCAATTTTGATGAGACTGTGTAATATTATGTCTGCATTCCAATGTTCTTATTTCATTTTCAATATTACAGGATGTTTATGCATACACCGCCATTAATATTCCACCCTACAGAATCTTTACAATCAATCCACGAGGAGAACTCAAACAGGAATCACACTTTACATTCCAGTCATCGTAAGTGCATTGGTCAATTTGTGGATTCATTATTATTCATTGGATACCAATTTTCGTGGATTTCACTGGTACAGGGAAACCAAAAATTTAAATGTTCAATTAATTACAATTGTTTTATAGGAATATATGCTGACTTACTTCAGCAAAATCACAAAATGGAATATCCTTGAAAATGCAAGTTTTCCTCAATCTACAAAAATTGATACCTACAAAAATAAATGAATCCACTGTATACACAATTCATTTCAGTCAGGCCGTAATGGTAACATTTTCTTCAATTCCTCTGCCTATATCATAAACTTGGATATGTATGATGGCTAGTTTCGAATCTGACACATTTTCACTTATGTGGTTAAATTTTTAAGTACAAAGTGTGATTCAATTATCCACAATTTTGCTAACCCGTAAGTATAGGCCACCTTTGTCAAAAGTAGTACATTGTACAAGCAATGTTTTACATCTTTATATGTCGCTCATCTTTAGCCTTGTATAACAAAGCTGTTTTTTAATTCCAAAAAAAGAAAACATAAGGTACACATGTCACAATTCAATGCGCAAGGTCAGTTTTATTTTGAATGACACTGGAGATCATATGTACATTGTGTGTGAGCTCTTAGATTAAAAATCAATAAATTAAAAATAAAATCCATTTTATGTCAGTCAGGGGTACTACTTGTACAAGTAATCTTTATTTACTTGAAGAAGTAAATAAAATATCCTTTATATAAGTTAATTATAATGTTTGAATAATCTCCCCTTAATTTTCTCAAAAATTTACTTGTATAAGAAATTTTTTTTTACAATCCCACAAAAATTCTCAAGTTTTGAGATGTAAAAACATGCCTTTAACAATTTTTCTCAGGTTAGCTCATAATTTTTTATTAGAGTTCAATGTTTCATCTCATTATTTCAACAAAGAAACTGATTGCGCAAAGATCTTAAGTATTACGCAAGGCCTTCAAAAATTGCCCCTTGGGGGCTTGTAAATGAGCAGTGTTCTGAAGATAATAGACAAATGAGATTTTCATTGTCCATGAAATTACACTTAAATGATTTGTAAAGACATCTGCAAAGGACAGACAATTAAAAATTCTATTAGAGCAAAGAAGTCCTAAGAATTCAAGAAAAGAAGAAAGGATGACTTTTTTACTTGTATAAGTAAAAAAATCTGAATGTCTAAGGGACGTAACTAAGCCAAAAAATTATTTACCTATACAAGTAAATAAAATACACTTGTATAAGTATCCTACAAATTTACTTATACAAGTATATTAATATTTACTTCTTCAAGTAAATAAAAATTACTTGTACAAGTAGTACCCCTGACTGTATGTGTATTTGTAATCTTTAAATTTTGAAACACAACTTTTAAAAAGATGCCTTTCTATCATCACTAATGACTAAGATTTTTATTTTATGCAAAAATTGCATTTCAAATAAACCATGGAAACTATGACCTATTCTTGAAAAAAAAATCTTGAACTGTTTGTAGGTATGTATGAACATGAAATATTTCTTAGATAAAACTTGATGTGTTTGTAGGTAAATGTATGAAAGCATGAATTATTTCTCAAAAAAAAACTTTTATCTGTTTATAGGTATGTAAGCCTTACTGACATAGCAGACCATTACTTTCCCCCAGTTATACATGAGAATGCATTGGAATGTAGTGAATTCAGCAACACAACATTTTGGCGGGAACCACTTATAGAAATTGAAGACACAGACCTCCAACTTTTGGTTGGACCAGCGAAATGACATGCGGCACCAATGGGTAACCAGTCTAAGATGTTAATAGAAAACCAGTTGAACAAAATAGTTGGCAATCAGTATTATCTCCAAAGCAATAACAGTATTGACTTACTGGATGATATTTTTGAAGATCATGGCATAGACGAACATGATATTGGACAGGCCATTCAGATGTCTGATGAAAATGGAAAGGATATGTCAATTTGGTTGCTTCCATTCAAAATTTATCTGTAAAGATTTCTGTATTCAATACATTCTCCATAAACATGGCATGCAGTTTTATACTTTACCCTGTGTACTGAGTTTGAGAAAAAAACAAAACCTGAAAAATAAGCCTGTAACGGAAAAAAAAAAGACTTTTTCCCACAAAACCTTGCCTTTTGACCATAAATTTGTTTATGAGGAAAATGATGTCTTAATATTCAAACATAATAGGGTTTTATGTTATTTGTATTGGACTGAAATCTAAGATGTGTAAGACACATCAGTACATATTGAAATTTTATGAACAATTTAGGTATTAATTAAGTGCAGGTTGATTTCTGACAGGATAACTTGCATTACAATCAGAAAATAATATGTTTATTTTAGATTTTTTCAGTTAAAAGTTGTATTATTTAATTTCATCGTTTATTGACAGGGTATTAGAGCATTTTTAAGGATATTTTTTTCTACATCAATTTATATTTGGTTGTAGTTCAGTTATACTATCAGTTACACTTTCAGTAACACATTTTTGTTGCTTTAGATAAGTTTCAGCATTAACATCGATATCAGTTTAGTATTTAGTGAAGAAATACTGGTTACTCATTGGGTTATTATTGTGGTAGGGCTATTCCAGGTAAAAAAAGGTAAGGGGGTTGAACGGCACTTTTTCCCACAAAGACCCTATCCATACACTTTTATTCAGAAATTAAATGTGTTATTGTTTGAAAACTTGTTTTCGACCCCTTTTACCCCAATATTGATAATATCAGGTGCCTTCCAACTCCCATATAATTAATTGTGGAATAGCCCTTAGAAGTTGAGTTAAGTTAAATCTCAGGTTTTTTATGTGTTAGATATTTTCATTGTTTTTCATTACTATACATTGAGGTTAAATTTTTCGTGGAAATTAACATTATTTTACCACTAAATACAGTATAAGTAATTAATTAAATGGATCCTGGATGTGACAAGGCTGTTATTGATTTTCAAAAAATCTCCATGACAACTAACATGGCTAACACACTTTCTTTCAGTAATTTTGCATATTTCAAATAGACATGCAGCCATAAATGGCACTTGACCTTTGTCTAAAAATAAAAATTACTTTCGTACCTTCCAACTCATTTTAATGGAATAGTCTGTATTAAAGATATCCAGTTATTTCCAGTATTAACTGGTTACAATTGGCTTAGTTTTGTACAGAAACTTTAACCTCAGTATAGGAATGATCATGGTAATAGTTAATGTCAATTGTATTTATGTCCATAACATGTTCATTCCACTACAAATGTTTATCTCTGTTAGTTATTCCTGACTTTTATAAAAAAAAAAAATCAATTGATTCTGCATTTTCAATACCTGAAGTTATATGACTAGTTTAAAATTATTTCATTTATTTAGGAAAATAAAATAAATAAAAGTCTTTCTACTAATAAGGTAACAATCAGTACAATTCTTTAGTCTTGAGATAGAACTTCTAAAAATGTATTATAAATGTCTGGTTATTATTTTTACCGAAGCAATGATCTTTAATCCATTGCAAACATTAATTTACATATTTTATTGGAATTTAATCATATCTGATATGTATGTATGATAATTGTAATAATTCAAAAGAACATGACTGACAATTTGCTATTTATTTAACAGAACCTGTAGTTATGTAGCTATTTAGGCCACACCCAGTCTGGTAAAATTAATTAAAAAAAAAGAAAATGAAGGATTTTTCAGTTTGGTGAAATTATATGTTATGGACATAACATAATTGACAGTGTAGTTAGACAGCTTAAGTTTTATTAAGTTGGTGTTCTATAGATATTGTATATTTATATCCAGCAAGGTAGTATTAGAGATTTTGTTTTAGATCATTTTGTTTATCGTTGCCTTGCAGTGTAGTTTTGGTAAAGGGAAGTAATTGAGATGAAAAGATGAGTTATTTCCCTTCATTTGAGTCTGTTTTTTTTTTCATACTTAACAAAATACTATATCAATAGAAATTCTTTGATTATGTGAAAGCTTTTAATTGGTTTGATATTTTGGCTTCAAAATAATCTGTATGAGTGCAGCTTTTTCAAAAGCCAATTCTACAATAGCTAATTTCTGAACATCACTATTTTGAGACATCAAACATCTGTTTCAAGTTCATATTTCTTCTCCATTTTAGTGGATTATTTTGTTTTTCCTGTATTTTGTTTATGAATTTTGCTAATTGTTGGACAATGACAAAGCTTCATAAAATAACTAAAATTGATAAAAATTGATAAAAGTCATTTACACTCATTCTGCATAGAATTGGTTCAAAGTAGTCTCATATTATCATTATTCAGAGTTGATCTCAGTTAATCAGGCCTCACCCTCCTTTTGCCTCTTGTATTCCGGTGTCTATCCCTATTATTTTGATATGAAAAAGAATGAAATTGGATATTTTGTCATAAATGAATCAGTCAAATTACTGTTGTGAAATGTTGATTTTAACCAGTTTTATCCTGGTTGCCTTTCACATTTCTGTTTTGAAAATGAAGTTGCACTTTGTTTGTTGTACAACTGTTAGTTACAGATTGTACATGGTTTTTTGTTTATAGTTGACTTCCTTTCAACAAATGTGTGGACATTAGACAAGTGGAAATTTCATCAAATATTTTTTTTTTTTAATATTGGAAGCTACTTGAAAGATTTTTTAGATATTGTAAAATGTATTAGGTCACAATTAATGAAATTATTATAGTAATTGAAACATTAATATTTTGTACATATTTGATGTAAACTTTTGGTGCTATTTGTCTTATCACAACTACATGCATGTGTGTTGTAATTTTTTCAAGCATTTTCATATCATATTTTAAAATAATGTATTAAATGTTGTCGAAATCATTTTAATTGCTAAGACTTTTGAAATGACCAGGGAAAGGAAGGGACCATGTTTCATACAGAATATTTACCATATGTTTACACCAGTTTGACCACTTTACCAGAGTCTTCACCATTCCCAGATTAAACAAAACGTGATTAATTTATATTATATTGAGAGAATATTTTTATGATAGATAAGGAAATTAAGTGACACATATATATCATAGTTTTCTTTTTTCCCCTTGGTATTTGCGTAGATGAGAGAAGTTTTTGAAGTTGTGTTTCATGGATTGAATATCTAAGTTATTATATTCCTGATTTTTTAGTAAGGATACCAGAAATCTTTTATAAGATAATCTGTTTTATTGTTATTTTCTCACCGTTTCCTTTGATCTTTCTGGATGATAATTTTCCATATCACACTACTTGAGTGATATGGGTTTTTCTCAGTGAAGAAGAATTAGAATGTATGATGTTATGAGTCATTACAGATTATCAAAGGTCTTTCAAACTCGAGGATGTTTCTTGGCTTCATTTGATCACAAGGCAGTCGCCAGTGTATGAGATTGTAGCAGAGGAACACTCTCTCGTTTTAAATACCATCAATAATCTATAAATGCATTAAAAGTCATGTGACTTTTGTCGTTTCCATCTTTTCATGTTAGGGGGAGTGGGCACATAATTGTACTAAACTTCTCACTTGTTCATTCTTATCTTATTTCTTCTAAAGACTTAGTAAATACAATATGTTTTTCCAGCATGTACAATACCTTGGAAAAAGGATTTAAACATTTGTGTTCAATATTCACACAAAATATGAGTTTAAAATAGCTGTAATGTACTTTGAGTCTCAATTATAAGTGCTGTTTATATTAGGATTGGTTTTTACTTTCTTATAGATGTTAAAGATATAGTTTCATTTTTGTGTGATTTTTTTATTAGCAGAGTTCGAGAAGTTGCTTTAAGTCATCTTCTCTATATATACATGGGTCTTTCATTTTTAAAAAGCTGATTATTATAACACATAGTGTTAACATATGTCTTTCTGTTATTTTTTTTTTCATGTGTGATAAATTTTTTTGGTTTTTGGGAGTTCTTGTTTGTCAAAATGTTTAGATCCATGACATTTCTCATCTGACTTCAAAGAAATTGAGTTGTGCAATAATAATTAAGGTATAGTGGTGCATTAATACATGTCAAAAGGGATAGATTGAGACATTTTTGTTTTACTTCTAGAGTACCTGGCATTAAGGATGATGCTTCCCTTTGGTGCGTTTTCTTAAATTAATTCATTCTATTTTGTTTTGCATAATCAAATTTTCAATGTATTTTATGCTTTATTGCCAAGGAAACCCAGAATGTGAAAGATTTATGATAGTAAAATATTACTGGAAAAAATAATAAGACTAAAAATTTCTTGTTCTCAGGTTGTAGGTAGATGCATTCTGGTCAAGATGATATGAATACAATAACTACAAGTTTGTTCTAGTCAAAATGAGTAAAACAAGAATGTCTTGCTCAATAAGGGGCAAATTTAGTATTCTCAACCATTTAAGAATATTGTATCAAAATGGACAGTTCTAGATCTATCCATACCTTAAACTTGAATAGAGGAAGGGGTGTATTGCTTTCACTCCTATTACCCACATAAAATTATAATGTGTGGGTGTCCAACTCTCTCATACATTTTTTTCTGAAATAGCCATAAGGTTATGCCTTCAATCTGAATTTCTCTAAATTTTGATCTCAAGCAATACTGTTTGAAGAAAGCATTTTAAATATTTGATGATGAACACAAATAGTTGAGAATTCTGGATAATGCCTTTTGATAAATCAAAAAATTCTTTTTAATTCATATAATATGTAAATTAGTGTTTGATGTCTTTCTTGAAAGTGAATAGTCACACTTGACTGAACATAAAATGTTCATATCAAGTTTATTGAGATATCAGCCAAATTTGAAATATTGTACTAAACATGTGTATTATTTAATGTATGGAACTTATAGTACACATAGGTAATTTGTTTAAAGATTAGATTGAATAGTGCGGAAGTGATTACAGAGATAAGTTTTGTAAGAATTGGGGATGATTTTCAGTCTTTAAGCTCAGTAGTGAATATAAATCCTTTTTTTTTGGCATCTTGAACTTTTGAATTCACAAACCAGTAAAATTATTTTATTTAATCAGTTTATGCTTGTAAGTGAAAACAAATGGTATTGTATTCATTGCAGAAATATATTAATATTGTCAGTTTGTTTTCGATCTATGAGTTTGACTGTCCCTCTGGTATCTTTTGTCCCTCTTTTAATGTGTTGTATGAATTGTTAAGCATATGTCTGTCTGTCTGTATGTCATTTTGTAAATTCACATTTTGTGTTTAAATGCTGTATAAATGCTTCTGATTCTATGTCATATGATTATCTTGTTTGTCATGTGACACACCATGTGATTGTAAGTTCTGTAAATCATGTATCTTTTTTTTACTTTCATAATGACTGTCTCTGCTTTGTGTTTAAGGTGTTTTTTTCTTAAATCATGCAATAATTTCACTGATTAGATGACAATTTCAGTCACAGGAAGTTCCAAATTTCATGTCTAACTCTTGTAATTGGTTTTTTAGAGCATTCTGACATAGGTACAGTTTCCTAAAAAAATGGATTTGAAAAAAAAAACGGTTCAGAATCCATAAAGTATTTAGCAAAATTGACCTTGTACATTTAAAAAAAAATTGGTATCCCTTTAAAGTAAATGTTAATAATCACAGACTGACCATTTGCATATTTGTGATAGGTAGGGAAATGAAAAATTTCTATTACTACAAGGTTTGACCAATTGTGGAACTTTCCTTGATTTCTGACCGTCTGTATTCATTTGAAAATCAAATAGTTTTGGAAATTAGCATTGAAGCAATATGTTTTCTTGTTAGTTTTTGAAATGAATTTATCTGTAATTAAGTATGTTGCTGTTGCATTTTACAGAAGTGTAATATAGATCAAAGAATGTTTGTTGTCTGAGAGAGATTTTGTTTACCATATGTTTAAGTTTGATGATAGATATTAAAAATATTTCCAATATTTGAGTTTTTTTTTTCTGTTTTTTTTCAGTATTTTTTTTATTGTATTAAAGAGTTAACTTCTGTTTTCCGGATCTTATACTAAGTTCAATATTTTGTGGTATTGTTGCCAATGAAACATTTATCCAGGAAATACCAAAGGACAAGGAATGCAACAACTGCAGATCCCTGTGTTGGCTTTCACCATAAACAACACTTATACGACAAAATCAGCTTTAAAAGACCACAGGATAAGAATATATGATGTGAAACAAATAAGATTTATACTACACAGCTAACAACAAGTATTTATGGCAGAAAAAAAACAACAAGAACCACTGGATGACGTGTTCTGACATGGAATAGGCATAAATAGAACACAAAGCTCGACATCATAAACCTAGAATTTAAAAATCTAGTATACAGAGCTTAACTCATCAAATCAGTATTAAGAACACAAAAAGAAAAATACAAAAGACATAGAAAGGCAATCAGGACATATCAAAGAGTACTTTCAGTTTCTAAAATCTAGTTCAAAGCTCAGTTTCAACTTATAAACCAACATTGTTTTCATGATTTCAAATCAATTAGTAAACTACCACAACATTTTGCAATAATAGTTTTAGCAGTATTTCAGGTCAAAATTTATATCTTTTAAAACATATGTAAGTATCTACATTAAGTTCACATGAAATGTTTGTATGTAGGTAAACAAGGAGAATACTTCTTAAGATTAAACATATGCATTTCTGTCAAAAGAGGATTTAAATGCCGGTAGTCCTTTATGCCGCTTGTTTCATGCAAATTGGTGGAACAGCAGATGTTTTTTTATAATCTTTCGTTCATCTCAAAATTGTCCTTTTGTTTCCCCTTCATCTTAGTTATTTTACGAACTTCTTCTATATAATACCAGTATATAGATATAGAACCAGTGCATCTTCTATGTTTAACAAAAATCCCAATACTAAAAATGGGTGCCAGGTATAATGGAAAATTTACCAACCCTGTAAATGTTGAATATTGAAGTTCGGAGAGATAAACATCTATTTCATACGATTACGGGATTCTGCAGTATCAGTACGGTCTTCGTTTTGTCCTGTAAAAGAGCAGCAATTATTTCTGGTTGTAACGGGAATTGTATTGTGTCATTTGAGCGGATTAGATAAGCCATAAACGTTCATTTTCAATGCATAAACCAGACATACAGCTAAATCATATACCATTCGAAAGCCTATCATCAGTACTTTCTTTATTGCCCGGTCGTCAAATATTTGTACGGTGCAATTTCCGCCAAACCAAGAACAAAAGTTAATAACAGACAATATCTAACTTTTGAGGAATGAAACAATTGTTGGAAAACAAGAACAAGTCACTCTTCAAACGCACTCTAAACTATTGGTTACGTATTTTTGATAAAAATGGCCCATTGACAGAAATTCGTGTGAAAATGATAACAATAAGTGAAAGGCAAAATATTTGTATGGGATTCAACTGTTATTCACCTAAAACTCTAAAGAGTCCTCCAATTTAGTGCTAAGGAAGTTTTTGACAAAATCAAGCGACTATAATCAAGCTTATTGCTAGTATAAAAGACCAATCAAAATTGTGGTAAACATTAACTTTCAATCTATCTGTAATAAAAAACCAGAACTTGAAGAAATTATTAACTCTGCAAAACCTGATATAATCACAGGCACTGAAACTTGGTTAAATCCAAATATACCATCTCATGAACTATTTCCACCAAACCTTTACAATGTGTACCGAAAAGATAGAACACAAAATGACAAAGGAAAAAGTCATGGCGGAGTATTAATTGCTATTACTAAAGAGTTTATCAGCTCCAAAATAGATGAATTCCAATTAGATTGCGAAAGCGTGTGGGCGGAAATAAACATTTCAGGCACCAAAAAGATCATTGTCGGATGTTATTACCGACCCCCATCAGACGATGGAACATCTCTTGAAAATTTAAATATTTCTTTAACAAAAATTAAAAACATCTCAAATTCTAACATATTGCTTTGGGGAGACTTTAACTTAGGCCATATTGATTGGTCAATTCCATCCATTGTTGCTGGAAAACCAGAACAAAAATTACACATACAACTCCTAGACATAACTTTTGACCATAATTTACAACAAATGGTAGACAAAGAAACACGCAAAGACAGAATTCTAGATCTGTTCTTCACTAATAATCCATCTAGTGTAAATAAAATGACAACTTTACCACCAATTGGTAAGGCAGACCATGATATAGTATACCTTGAGATTGACACATGGCTGAAAAGGGTACGGGAACTACCTAGAAAAATCATGAAATTCAATAAAGCCAACTGGGGAAACATAAAAAAAAATCTTATTGAAATATTAACAACAATACAAGAAAAATACAAACTCAGTAATGTAGATGAATTGTGGGAAAATTTTAAGATAGACCTCATAAAATCTATAGAAAAAAATGTACCACACAAAATGATCACATACAAACATAGATTACCTTGGGTAACAGACAAACTGCGTAAGCTTATAAACAAGAAAAACAAAGCTTATTGAAAAAGGAAGAAAGATCCAGAAAAATACAAAAAGTTGAAACAAACAGTACAAAAAGAACTACGTACAGAATATTGGAAATATATTGAAAAAATGATTTGTGATATACCAATAAACGAACCTGGTCAATATGAAACATCAAAATCAAAACCAAAAAATCTGTTCAGCTACATCAAAAGCGAACGATCTGATAACACTGGTGTTACACCTTTGAAAAAAGATGGCAAACTCATTACAGACACTGAAGAAAAAGCGAACATTTTAAATCAACAGTTCCAATCAGTATTTACAAATGAAACAGATGATAACATCCCAGACAAAGGTAGAAGCCCCCACCCACAAATGCCAAAGATAACAATCAACGAATCAGGTATAACAAAATTACTGTCGAACCTTAATCCACATAAAGCTTGCGGCCCTGACAATATCAATGGCCGTGTCCTTAAAGAACTAAAGGAACAAATCTCACCAATCCTTATCTTAATATTTAAAAAGTCGCTTGAAACTGGAGAAACACCTAAGGACTGGAAACATGCTAATGTAGCCCCAGCCTTCAAAAAAAGGGAAAAATACAAACTCGTAAATTACAGGCCAATATCTTTAACCTGCATATGTTGCAAGCTCATGGAGCATATCATTACAAGTAGTATCACGTCTCATCTAGAAAAACATCATATATTATACGATCTTCAGCATGGCTTCAGAAAATCAAGGTCGTGTGAAACACAGTTAATAGATTTTATTCAAGAACTAGCACAAACAAATAATAGCAACACACAAACTGACTTAATCATAATGGACTTCGCTAAAGCGTTCGACAAAGTCTCACATCGTCGCCTCCTATACAAGCTCAACTACTATGGTATTGAAAATAACACACTAAATTGGATTCAGGCATTTCTACATGACATAACACAAACAGTCGTCATCAATGGCATTTCTTCCACCTCAGTACATCTGGTGTACCACAAGGAACAGTATTTGGCCCAATACTGTTCCTCATCTATATAAATGACCTACCTGAATATTTACAACACAGCAAGCTAAGACTCTTTGCAGATGACAGCATTATTTACAGGGAAATAAAAACACAGGATGATTGTCATAAACTGCAACTAGATCTAGACTCAGCAGCACGATGGGAGTCAGATTGGCTCATGGCATTTCACCCTGATAAATGTACCAACCTTACTATCTCACAAAAGAAAAATAACTACCGGCATAATTACATCCTCCACAATCACATTCTCGAATCAGTAACATCTGCAAAATACCTCGGCATCACCTTACAATCCAATCTTAAGTGGAATAGGCACATAGACAGTATAGTATCAAATGGGAACAGATCACTTGGTTTTTTAAAAAGAAATTTAAAAGTTACAAACACAGAAATAAAATCAAGGGCATACCAGGCACTAGTAAGACCCAAACTAGAATATAGTTGTAGTGTCTGGGACCCCCATATGAAAGAACAACAGATAAAATTAGAAAATGTGCAGAGACGAGCTGCTCGTTATGTACACAACAACTACGATTACACGAGCAGTGTCACAAACATGCTAAATCAGTTGAAATGGCCACCACTAGCTGAGAGACGCCTAAAAAACCAGACTTATTTTATTTTATAAAGTAATACAATGTCTTGTAGCCATTCCATCGCATAATCTTGAACAAACAGACAGCAGAACAAGACAAAACCATACAGACATACAGACACATCCAAACTTCCAAGGACACATAAAAATGGTCGTACTTCCCGCGAACAATTATTCAATGGAACTTGCTACCACAAACTGTTATTGAAACCACCACTGTTGACAGCTTTAGAGATCAGCTAACACCCGCTGTTCTCTCTAGCTTCAAATAAACAAATCCAAACCAAAACATGTACATAAATTGCATATTTTTTAATCACAATCTGTATATACAAACACTTAAATTGTTATTAAATATTTTTTATTAATTTATATAATTTTTTTTGTCAATCACGCATGCGCAACAACCTTTCGCTTATATGACAATGGCATATAATTCCATTATATCGAAAACAATGTGTGAACAAAACAATCAGACACGAAAGTTAGAAAAGTCAAAAGTTGGATGAATTTTAACTACTTACTATGAACTATACTTAGTGTATTGGAAATACTTTTAAGATCATCTCCCTAGTTTTAGTTTAGACTTAAACTTTCCCGACAATGTAGCAAAAAAGGCAGAGAGGCCAAGGAAAAAAGATGGTTTAAAGTTTTGGCAAAACACATTAAGCACCTTTGTGATGTCATAAATCGCTATTTAAACTATAAACAAACTGCCTGATATTCGTACCTATGTTTAAAAAAGGAACATAATGTCAGGAGGATAATCTTTAAGCACAACACGAACAGAAACGATACCACAATTACTGAAGTAAAAAGAGAAAAAAAGCAAGAGACAATACTTGTGTCAAGAAAACCACTACCTTATATTGGGGTTGATCCAAGTTGCTCAGGAAGTGTATTCAATCATTAACATTATGAAGTGTCGGAAGTATTTAATACAAAGACAACTAACTTTTAACGGATTTTACTTCTCTACATGTTTAACTTTTTTTAAAATAAAACAGCTGCAGAACTGTTGATACTATTAGTAATGGATATTTTTGACCTTGAATAAACGAGCATTGCACTTCTCGAATTATTGACGACTGGGCAAAATAGAAAGTACGATAATAAGCTTCGAAAGATATATCATATAGTCGTATGTAAGTTTGGTGCATTAAAGTTGTTCACTAGGAGGCTTTTCGAAAGATGTCACTCACTTATCATAATTGTTTCCCATCATAAACATGATAACAGGTGTCTTTGAAATAAGCCGAGTGTTGTATCATGTCGGCCTTGTTGTCATCTTTGAATATTCTGTGCAACTTGTTTAATACTTTATCCCCTTTGGACTTTCGGAGTTTTTTTTATTTAGAAATACTTGGCAATAAGGAAATAGTGTTGTACATGGGAGTGTCACCTTTTAACGTTAAAGACCAATAGAAGTATTCCCAAGAAAATCTCTTCGTTTGTATCATACTTGTATTTTGCTATATACTTCATTTCTATATAACAAAAAAAAAATTAGAAACAAAATTTTGAAAACAATAATGAATTTCTATAGTTACAAACTTCATTGATTCATGAAAATTAGATACTGTAATATGTAAACGAGACCTGAACTTCACACTGTGTTGGTTTTTAAAGAATGCTATCATATTTTGATAACAGTAATAATTTCAAATTTACCTGGTTATGATGTATAATTGTTAAAGGAGTTGACGTCATGTCATCTGATATTTATTATATGAAAATGAGAATATTCCCAATTGTTAACTTTCAATTTCTATGTAGCAACATTCCAGCAGCGCCTGCATACGGAGTATATATCTCCCAATTGATACAATATTCCCGGGCTTGTGTTTCCTATCATGATTTCCTTGATAGAGGATTGCTGCTCACAAGGAAGCTATTAAACCAAGAGTGTCAAATGGTGAAGTTGAAATCACCCCTTCGTAAATTTTACGGACGCCATCACGAGTTGGTTGACCGTTATGGACTAACCGTTTCACAGATGATATCGGATATGTTCCTTATGTCGTAACTACAATACCCTTCCCTTTTCACGAATGTGACTTACCGAATTAGACTATTTACCGGATTTGTAATAAAATAAGCAACACGACGGGTGCCACATGTGGAGCAGGATCTGCTTACCCTTCAGGAGCACCTGAGATCACCCCCAGTTTTTGGTTGGGTTCGTGTTGCTAAGTCGTTAGTTTTCTATGTTGTGTCATCTGTACTATTATATTTCTGTTTGTCTTTTTATTTTTGGCCATGGCGTTGTCAGTTTGTTTTCGATCTATGAGTTTGACTGTCCCTCTGGTATCTTTCGTCCCTCTTTTGCGATTTGTCAGAAACATGGCAAGGACTTTTAAAATGAAATATATTCAACAGATTCTGACATAATGTTTTGATATATTTTAAGTATTGTAACTTAAATGCTATATTTTGAAGCCGATTCATTGGTTCTTTTCGACCTTGCATATTAGAAACATTGAACAATCGATTCGAGAGAATGAGTGAAGATCAAAGCAAAAGACAACATTAATAGTAATACAACAAATGCATAATGCATTGTCTCCTTGTACTGACAGCTACAATACACTCAATATCATGTTGTCAAATAGAATTATGCTTCCAATTGATACCATACGTTTATCTTTGAAACTATAACAAACTGAATCAATAATCTTTATACATACAAGAACCTGTTGTTCAGTAGTTGTCGTTTCTTGATGTGGTTCATAAGTGTTTCTCCTTTCTCCTTTTTTTTATAAAGATTAGACCGTTGGTTTTACTGTTTGAATTGTTTTACAATAGTCATTTAAGGGTCCCTCAAAGCGTGCTGTTCGGTGTGAGCCAAGGCTCCGGGTTGAAGGACGTACATTGACCTATAATTGTTGACTTTTTACACATTGTTTCTTAGATGGATAGTTGTCTCATTGTCACTCATACCACATCTTCTTATATCTATATGTTAGACAATTCAAACATTTTAAAGTCTACAAAATTCCAGAGCTTTTAATTTTTGTATCAAGTTTTCCATGAAAGAAGATTGTTGCCTTCAACTTACAAGGAAACTATTAAACCAAGGGTTCCAAGTGGTAAATTCGAATTATCCCATCCGAAAATTTTACAGACCCAATCACGCTTTAGCTGACTGTTATGGATTATGTGTTTCACAAATGACAAATGATATATTCTTATTGTCGAACTAGACTTATCACCGGGTGTGTACTTGCATGACCACCATGACACAAACAGAAAGACCAACATGACAGGTGACACATGTGGAGCAGTATCTGCTTACCCTTCAGCATCACATGAAATAACTTATAATTGCTAAGTCTTCAGTTTTTTATGTTGTGTTGTTTGTCGTTTGATCTCTTTCCTTTGATGTAACGTGTGTAATGACATTTTCGACTTTTGAGTTTGACTATACCTTTGTTATCTTCCGCACCTTTTTAACAAAGGAGTGGGGTTTCCAAAAGTTCATACCAATTGATCTATAAAAATCGGATGTCTAGTAAAGGTCAGTGACATCTACCGAACTCGAAAAATCTTTGCTCTAGAAATGGAAATTTAATGTGTAAGATGAAAGCTCAGAAAGCTAAACATTCATTTTTTACGAAAACAAAAATCTGTAGTGTCATAAAAATACACCACCTCCGGTTTTTACGAAAATTGTAACATTCAATTCTATTCATACAGATGTCTGCAATAACTGTGTTGATTTCTTTGTAATTTAATATGTGTAAACTGTTGTTACTTCATATTGTATAGTTTATGTCTTTAGTTCTCTTCCTTGAAGACTAGTTGCACCTGGCTTAGTGAAATTCATAATGTTGAGTTTTATTAAACTGAACGAATGAATTTCCAATATAGAAATATGTGGAAAAATGTTGATGTCACTTGTTCTCGACGTTCACATCCTCTTACACTCGAATGTGACCTACCAAATTAGACTTAATACCGGGGTTGCACTAAAATGATCAATTCGACGGTTGACACGTGTGGAGCATGATCTACTTCCCCTTCCAGAGCACCTGAGATCAGTTTTTGGTTTGGTTCGTGTTGCTCAGTCTTTAGTTTTCTTTCTTGTGGTTTGTGTACAATTTTGGATGTCCTATGATATCGCTCGCCTCTTTTGTTTGGATTCATATACGACATTTAATCTTACAACACCCTCAGATCAAAGAAAATAAGTTCAAAAGATTTTGATGATGATTTTGGTTGCGAACTGGTGACAGTGGTGTTATACATGAATCAGCACGAAAACATATGTGAATTTGAAAGTAATATGAAACTAATACTGTACTAGTTTGACACACTCAGTCGGAATTTTCCTCATAAAATCGTAAAACCCAGCATGGACACGTATTCCTGGTTCCAAGTTTAGCGTACGAAGCCACTAAACAGCAAAGAGAACAAGAACCAGATGTGGTTCAAATCAACAATCTCTTACATCCATCACGTGCATTCCATCACCGGAATTTGTAGGTAGAAATAATGCAGTTGAACAGTTGTACATGTAGTTCGTTTTATGTTTAAATATCTTTCGATGCAAACCTCTGCATAAAAAAATCAAATTAATCTGAAGTCTTAACCTGAATTGTTCTTCAAATCATTTTATAGATATTACATTTCTTTTATAAAACTTAAACACTAAAACGATCAGGCAGTATTCAGCTTAATAATCATTTACAGTGCTACATAATTCAACACAATCACAGAATAAGGTTAATTATTTCCACAATGTTCCCTTCGAAGCAGAATTTGAGCATTTTAACAATGGCGCCTCCTGGCACTGTCTGGTTTTCAAATCAATTCTATGTTGTTATCATAATCATGCTTATACTATATCGGGAATTGGATGTACTATTCTTAAAGTCTAAAAAGTTAAAATATCGTTCCCTGATTGTAAGTTCAAGATCATGCAGTACGTTTTGTTTTCCTGTGCAATTGCAAAAATGATGGCAGCAAAGAAATTGTAGGAGATACGAGTACACAACTGGTGGAATTAAAAAAATTTCTTCGACTATTAAAGGTATCAGTTCGTCTGGTAAATAGCAAAACGGATGTTCAAAACATGAATTTTCAGCTATCCAATGTTTAATAGCAAGCAATAATCCATATCTGTGTTTCATCTCCTTGAATATAGTATGTTCAACCAAGCTATTTTTAAAATTAAGATAAATCATACCCAGGGTACATGTGTACATCTGGATAAACTGTAGTTGATTATAACAAGACATTCCTGAAATCGTTTACATTTTTGAAATAAAGTTGCTAGCAATAACCACGAGGAAATTGAATCTGAGCATAAACTTATCTGGAAAAAACACAATCTTCTTTTGTATTTTTGGTAAAACGATTTGTTTCTAGCAATCATAATACAAAGGTGTGATGATTGTAAAACTTCCCAGCCATATACAGATAGCATGTATGTACATAATTCTTTTTTTTTAAAGAAATGTTTACAATAAGTTTAATTGCACTGTAAGTGGACTGTAAAATGATCGATACCATCAGAATGTTCATGTAAATATAACACGACAAATCCGTTATATAATGCATTACATTGCAATGTAGCTCGCCCTATGCCTAATTCAAATCAACCATCTCTTACATCCATCACAAGCATTATATCACCGGAATATTTGTAAGAAATTATGAAGTCGAAAAGATATAGTTCGTTTTTAGTCTGGATATCGTTCGATGCAAACCTCTTTAGCATAAAATCAAATAAATCTGAAGTCAAAATCTGAATTGTTCTTCATTATAATATATGGATATACCATTTGTTTTAACACCAAAAAAGATCAGGTAATATTCAGATATATTATCATTTACAGTCCTACATAATACAACAACAAAAAAATAATCATTATTTTTACAATGTTTCGTTAAAAGCAGAATATGGGCATTTGACAATAGCGCCTCCCAGAGCTGTCTGGTTTTCAAATACATTCTAAGTTGCTGTCAATAATACTAAGTAATGTTTTTACTATATCGAGACATGGACGTACTATTCTTGAAATTGAAACATTGTCCAGTATAAGGTATCGTTACCTGATTGTTAGTTCAAGATCATGCAGATCGTTCTATTTTCCTCTGCAATCGCCAAGATGATGGTAGCAAAGACATTCTAGAAGATTCATATACATAACTGGATGGATCCAAAGCATTTTGTCGACTATAAAAGGTATCAGTTCATCTGGTAATAAGCAAAACGGATGTCGGAAAAATACTTTGTCGATTATCAAATGTTTAATAGCAATCAATAATCCATATCTGAGTTTCATTTCCTTGAATACAGTCTGTTCAACCAAGCTATGTATAAAATTAAGATGGATCATATTCTGGTTACATCTGGATAAACAGTAGTGTATCATAACAAGACATTCCTGAAATCTATTACATTTATAAAAAAAAGAGGCTAGCAAAAACCACGAGGAAATTGAATCTGAGCATAAACTTATCTTGAAGAAGCACAATGTTCTTTTGTATTGATGGTAAGAATATTTATTTGTAGTCATCATGTTAAGATGAGATGATTGTAAAACTTCCGTGGCATATAAAGATAGCATGTATGCACATAATTCGTCATTTAAACAAACGTTTACAATACGTTTAATTGCACTGTAAATGGGCTGTGAAATAATCGATACAATCAGAATGTTCATGTACATATAACACGGCAAATCCGACGCTGATAGTACCATTCCATGCGAATTTACTGATTCTAATCTATAGTTCTGAAAAGTAGAAGTTTCAAAAACAGAAATCCACGGTGATTCATAAATAAACCGTAATGTGTGCAGTAATGCCTTATGTTCTTTGTCAGTAAATCTGTCTTCAAACAGATTGTTTTCTGTGATAAAGTAATGAAGACATAATTTATATTCAACACAGTAAATCAGTCTTTTGATACAATTGTAGAAACAAGACATCATATTCTCAGGTTTCCATTCTGATGGATTTATCTCCTCACTCAACCAGAACATTATGGTTTTAAGGAAATAGGAACAAAGAAGATCGCCATGTTTCGGTTTGATAAGTTCCTTTAAAATAATTTTCATTAACGCATAACATAATAACTGAGTATGGGAAAAGGAATGAATTAACAGTTTTTCGGTCACAGAAAACGATATCCGCCATTGTAAGTCCGCATTTGGAGAGTTTTTACATCCAATAGGAACAAATAAAACTCCGTATTCTACCGCGGAACTAACTAGTATGTCATGTGGCCATGCTGTACGGGATCTGTGAATCCATTGTTGAGCTGATGTGATCCACTCATTACATCTGAAACATGGTGCACTATCGTATTCACCATCAGCTGTAGACAAACATGGACCATGAATAATCATCCCACCAGTTAAGTATTGTTCCAGAAAACGTTTGCTTGAGATGTACGTTTCTTCTTCAACAGTCTCACACCAGTCGTGTAGTATTTCAAAACTAAGGAATAATTTGTTAACTAACTTCAATTTTGTAAATCCCGGTTTTGTGTCGTTTGTTTCCATAACGATTAGTACTTTTTCTGGATCATACTGAACATTATTTAAGCTTTCACACACACGAATAGCAGTTAACTGCATCATCTGATCGTAATCACTACCTTTGAGATCTAAACCTTCTGCTTTACTGCCACTACTTATGAAGGTCATACCATTAGTTTTTTTAACAATGTCCATCTCAGTAAAGATTTCTCTTCTTGTCCTTACAACTTCCTCAGAACCGACGATGTTACATAAGTAATTATAAAATTGAAGCGACAGATTCTTGTCCTTTAAATCCATATTTACACCATACCTGAAAAAAACATAGATTTTTAAATTCACACCTGTCCAGTTATTCAATCATTTTAAGAAATATTAAATAAAACCAGTTAAATAACTTTTTTGTCGAAGCCTCGTCTTGACAACATGCGTGACAAAATTTATCATGACCTTAATATTGGAAATATGTGTAGCCATTGTCCCTTTCATGATGTTAAACTGCACTTTACGTTATATGTGATTAAGAAAAAAATATATTTAGATTTGATACGTAGTAAATCTAAAAGGAAATACAATGAATGATATTTATAAAATAACAATTCTTAACAATGTTTATTTTAATGAATATTCCGTCAGCCTATCTACTGTTCTTAGCGACTACAAACAATGTGTATTTGCCGGTGATTTAAGGTGTTGAGTTTTGCACTTGTATTGACCATTGACGTTTTAAATGTTTTGATTTTTCTTAATATCCAAGTGTTGTCATAAATTAGAAAATGTTCATATCAAATCTTATATCGCGAAAATTAAATGTTATTTAAACAGCAATGTAAATAGAATTGGTCGGCTGAAAGCAAACAACCAGGAGAAGGTATTGTATCGTTTTCTTTTATAACTTTTATTGATAAATCCATCCCGATCCGTATGGTGAAACTGATTATTGCCCAAACAAATTTAATAACTGAGATTAAGCTAGGCATTCATATCCTACATTTTACGGTAACATTGCACTAAAAGCGCGGAAATCACTATGTGATCCGTGTAAACTCATCGAACATTTAAACAAACTTATTAGTAAAGGTTATCTTACCAATGTTGTAATTAGATCTTTGAATAAGGTTAACATTGGCACTAATATCGATTTTGTCATCAGCAAATTAAAGAATAACTAAATTTGTTTTCATTTCAAATGGGATATATAAATACACATCCACGTTCATTTTTCTATATACTCCTAACTATCTTACTACCTGTCGATACTTTTATTTTTGGCATTGCACAAGTGTGTCTTCTTTGATTATCCATGACGTTAAAATACTAAATCCCTGAGGTGTGTTTTAGTTGATTTTAGTCTCTGATACATGATTTATTATTATTAATTGTTTTTTTGGCTTTTAACTAGCTTTCAGTAATTGCGAGTACTCTCAAATCGTTCTTTCTTTTTTAATTTGACCTGTTGATACAATTTGTAATGCTTTTCTGTTATTTCATGTTTATTTAATTTGGGTTATATTTCGTCTCTCTACTTCATATGCATACCAGCGTTGATCAGTTTTTGGTATATCTTCTTCTATATGTATAATTTTATCCTTCCAATTATGGAACACCTCCTCGACGGATATTATGTAGGTGGGGAGTTAATTAAAACTTAAATAGTATGCAATAAAAGTTTTATTTTTTTTTCTGGTTTGACGAATAAGCCAAGTAAAAAAATCAAGGAGGATGCCAAAATAATCTCTGTTAAATTTAAATATTTACATCGATATACAGTACAATGTGCAAAGTAGAGGCAAGGGGAATATGTTTTTACTATATCGAGACATGGACGTACTATCATGACCTTAATATTGGAAATATGTGTAGCCATTGTCCCTTTCATGATGTTAAACTGCACTTTACGTTATATGTGATTGAGAAAAAAATATATTTAGATTTGATACGTAGTAAATCTAAAAGGAAATACAATGAATGATATTTATAAAATTACAATTCTTAACAATGTTTATTTTAATGAATATTCCGTCAGCTTATCTACTGTTCATAGCGACTACAAACAATGTATATTTGCCGGTGATTTAAGGTGTTGAGTTTTGCACTTGTATTGAACATTGACGTTTTAAATGTTTTGATTTTTCTTAATATCCAAGTGTTGTCATAAATTTGAAAATGTTCATATCAAATCTTATATCGCAAAAAATAAATGTTATTTAAACAGCAATGTAAATAGAATTGGTCGGCTGAAAGCAAACAACCAGGAGAAGGTATTGTATCGTTTTCTTTTATAACTTTTATTGATAAATCCATCCCGATCCGTATGGTGAAACTGATTATTGCCCAAACAAATTTAATAATTGAGATTAAGCTAGGCATTCATATCCTACATTTTACGGTAACATTGCACTAAAAGCGCGGAAATCACTATGTGATCCGTGTAAACTCATCGAAAATTTAAACAAACTTATTAGTAAAGGTTATCTTACCAATGTTGTAATTAGATCTTTGAATAAGGTTAACATTGGCACTAATATCGATTTTGTCATCAGCAAATTAAAGAATAACTAAATTTGTTTTCATTTCAAATGGGATATATAAATACACATCCACGTTCATTTTTCTATATACTCCTAACTATCTTACTACCTGTCGTTACTTTTATTTTTGGCATTGCACAAGTGATGTCTTCTTTGATTATCCATGACGTTAACATACTAAATCCCTGAGGTGTGTTTTAGTTGATTTTAGTCTCTGATACATGATTTATTATTATTAATTGTTTTTGGCTTTAAACTAGCTTTCAGTAACTGCGAGTACTCTCAAATCGTTCTTTCTTTTTTAATTTGACCTGTTGATACAATTTGTAATGCTTTTCTGTTATTTCATGTTTATTTAATTTGGGTTATATCTCGTCTCTCTACTTCATATGCATATCAGCGTTGATCAGTTTGTGGTATATCTTCTTCTATATGTATAATTTTATCCTTCCAATTATGGAACACCTCCTCAACGGATATTATGTAGGTGGGGAGTTAATTAAAACTTAACTAGTATGCAATAAAAGTTTAAAATTTTTTTCTGGTTTGACGAATAAGCCAAGTAAAAAATTCAAGGAGGATGCCAAAATAATCTCTGTTGAATTTAAATATTTATATCGATATACAGTGCAATGTGCAAAGTAGGGGCAGGGGGAAAATGTTTGCTAAAAAATAATGGTAGCCATTTTTACCAGGGCAAAGTGTGAAAATAAAATATGATTCAAAATACCAGTTCAAAATATTGTCTATCGAGCAATAAAAAGTCTATGAACGCATGGCAGTGCGACATAAGGTGATAAAAACACAATACTAAAATGAATGAAACACTATAAAATCTAAAAGATTTCTCTAAGGAGGTGCAAGTGCTGGGGCGTGGTTCACATCCGGGCATCAACCACATCTTGCCAACATTTCCATTTTATCCTATGATAATCAAAGAAGACATGACTTGTATGAATATACATTTTCACTTTTGTTCTATTAACTATAAACATCAAAATTATTTAGTTAGTAAAACATATTCCTGTTCTCCATTTATCCTGTATACCTTACAACAATATTATTTTTCATGTACCTGTGCATATTATTCTATTTGGCGGAATTTCGTTCAATTTCGTTTTTCTGAAATTGTTTAACATATATAACACCTTGTTATATTGAATTTATATTAACATTGTGTCATAGATCAACTTTTATCATTCAGTGAGTGTTCACTAGTGTCGATGTGTGTTTTGATTGAGTTAACCTATTTCAATTGATATTTTTAGTGTTTCTTTTTTATGTTACGATTTTACACTATTGTTTCAGATAAGGGCAAAGGTTGGTACCAATTAAAACGTTTAAACCCGCTGCATTTGTTTGCATCTGTCCTAGGTCAGAAATCTAATGTGTATTAGTTGTCGTTTGTTGATGTGGTTCATAAGTGTTTCTCGTTTCTCGTTTAGTATATAGATTGAACCCTTGGTTTTCTCGTTTGAATGGTTTTACACATGTCATTTTTTGGGGGCCCTTTATGCTTGTTGTTCGGTGTGATCCGTGTTGAAGACTGTACTTTAACCTATAATGGTTTACTTTTTTCAAATTGTGACATCTTCTTGTATATTTTTGGATAAAACCTAGTTGATTGAAAATCGAAAAATAATAGAATTGAGAATGCATACGGGGATTGTATTAAAGACACACCAAACAGGTCCAAAGAGCAAACACAGATGTATGTTTAGTGTAATCTGTATCCATCTCATCTGCTTATGTTACCAAAATCCTAGCACTGAAAACATAGGTGTCAATAATAATAAATAATTTTGTTGATTGGATTTATTATAGCTCGAAAGGAAAGAACTGTTGTTCATATGATAAGAATTAACTGCTATTGTGTTTTTAAACTTCCGTTGTAACGGAAAATATATGTTGATTTTTCAGTAATATGTCATATGAATTTCGGCTTTGTTTTATCATTTTATTTTGGTTTAAACGCATTGTAGTATCTATACAGCGATAGTAATAGTATTGATTGTACATGCTATAGTCAGTACACTTTTGTTGATAATTTTACTTCATTTTTCAGAAACAACGTCATGAACAATTGATTCTTGTTTACGAAAAAAAGCTATATGATCTTGGCAGAAATTGATCAAAGCTTGATTTAATTGAAGTATGTCTGCCAGTTTATACTTATTTGTATACAAGGGAAGCATTGCTAACAGGTTAAAAGGGAAGAAAATGTCTAACAACCAAGATACTCTAAAAGAGGGATGAAAGACACCAGAGGGACGTTCAAACTCACAGATCGAAAACAAACTGACAACGCCATGGCCAAAAACAAAAAGACAAACAATACTACAGATGACACAACACAGAAAACCAAAGACCAAGCAACACGAACCCGACCAAAAACTGGGGGTAATCTCAGGCGCTCCGGAAGGGCAAGCAGATCCCGCTCCACATGCGGCACCCGTCGCGTTGCCTATGCCACCACAAATCCGGCAAGTAGTCCAACTCGGTAGGCCACATTCGTGAAAAGGGAAGGGCACTGCAGCTACGACACAAGGAACACATCCGCCATCATCTGTGAAACGGTCATTCCATAGGTTTTAACCTATATCAAGGTTTATTTCAAGACGCATTTAAAGTGAATGCATATGACAGGTTGCTGCTTATTTATTGTCAATTTAAACTTAATTGTCATTGTGGTACTTCAAACAGTGTCCTATTTATACCAATGACATTTAAATATTTAAGAGACCTGGTAATCAGTATATGTATAATTTC